TTCTATAGGCAAAATATAAGCTAATAAAAAGTAAAGTTTCTAAGACTTGCTCTTCTTTATATTCTACTAAAACACCTGGCATGGCCCCAAACATACATTAGGCATTAAAAAGAGAAAAACATCTGTCAGACTGAACTAAGTATTTATATATTGGATTAGCCTTGAATCACCCTCAAATGAGCAAGAGTTCTCAAGTACACACAGGGACCATAGTTAAGGGATGAGACCAAGACAAAAGTAGCCTTACCTTTACATCTGGCACCTGGGCACCTAGGCTGCTGAGTCCCACGATGGAGTAGAAAGCAGATTCCAAACTTGTGAAAGGGCGATCCAGTGAGGCTTTCAGTCTCTCCACATCTGCCTTGGTGAGGTAGTGAGTGGGCGTCAGAGCCTGGGTGCTGGCTATGATTGTCAGGGCCAACAGGAAGACAGTGCTTGAACCTTGGGGGGAAATGACTATTAAACACAATCCAAATGATTCCAAAGTTCTATATACAGTTCCAACGATGATGTGCATCAAGGTTGGGAACCAAATCATGTGAGGAAGGGGAAGGCAAATGGGAGGTTTAACTGGGAGAGAAGTCCTGGGAAAATGGCGGGTACTGTCTTCATCCATCTGAAGGACAGTCCTCCCAGTAGCCTGTGTTGCTAAAGCACAGGACCCAGCATGCCATTCCGATTTCAAATACATTTGTAACTCCTATGCCTCTAAGACAGAGGCCTCACCTGCCTCTCACCAGATTGCTTCCTTCACTTAGTCTTCCCTCCATCTGTGGCTCTCTGGACCCTTCTCTAACTCTCTAACAAGTCATGTTGTACGCTACCCAGAACTTTTTCATGCTTTCCCTTACTTCAACTTCCAACTTTTTTTTTTACTCTCTGATTTAAGTTCAAGTATCTCTTCCTCAAGAAGTCTCCCCAACAGCCCTTCCTTGGGTTAGGTCACCAGTACTATGAAGTACTAAAGAATGTGACCTCTGAGGCCAGGTTTAAATACTAGCTTTGCCTGGATGCCCCAGTGGCTCAGTCAGTCGGTTCAGTGTCGACTCTTGGTTTTGGCTCAGGTCATGATCTTGGGGTTGAGACTGAGCCCCTCACCACACTCTGCACTGGATATGAAGCCTGCTTGCGCACTCTCTAAATAAACAAATACATACATACTTTGAAAATAAATAAATAAATCCTAGTTCTGCCATTTATTAGCAATATGGCTCTGGCAGTTAAAATGTGGCCAGTCTGTCCTCAATCTCCTCAAGTGTCAAGTGGGATAATAACAGTACCCACCTCAGGGGTGTAATGAGGATCACATGAGTTAACAGAGAAAGATCTTAGAACAGCGACTGGCTTGTAACAAGAGCTACATATTAGGTACTTCTATTACCATCACTACTGTTGTGGCTATATTCATGCATAGCAACCTGAACTTCTATGTAGTCTTTTTCAGAACTATAATTCATAGTGTAATGTCTGATTCCTCTGCTAAACTGTAAGCTCCAAGAGGAGAGACAGTTTCTTCTATACAACCCAGTATCTCCAAGTATTAAACATTCCTTGGCATGTAGTAGTACTGAATTAATATTTGCTAAGTAAGTGGAAAGAAAAATTAATCTTTGTCTATGATGCTCGAGGAGACAGGAAGCAGTTATGAGTGGTACATTCTCTGGGCTGCTTCACGAAATGACTGCCATCCAATTAACACAACAGTATCCACCACACCTCCCCACAACCACCCACCTTATCCATACTCCACGGTTTCAGTTACCCACGTTCAGCCATGGTCCAGTATTGTTAGGTCAGGTCAGTAGTAGCCTAATGCTACATCACAATGCCTACGTCATTCACCTTACTTCATCTCATCATGCAGACATTTTATCACATAGGCATCTATTATCAAGAAGGGTGAATACAGTACAAGATATTTTAAGAAACTACATTCACATGAGTTTTATTACAATATCTTGCTATAATTGTTTTCATTATTAGTTATCATTGTCAATCTCTTACTGTGCCTAACTTATAAATTAAATTTTATCATAGTTATGTATGTATAGGAAAAAAGCACAATATATATAAGGGTTCAGTACTATCTGCAGTTTTAGGCATCTACTGAGGATCTTGGAAAGTGAACCCTGCAGATAAGGGAGCACTACTGTAATTGCAAGGCTAATGGTAATGGTACTAAATCCTCTGCTCACAGTGTCAAATTTAGTTTGAACTAGAATCCCTCAAGAAAGGCATTATTAGGGGGAGCTTGCCGGGCTCTGTCGGTGGAGCATGTGACTCTTGATCTTGCAGTGTGAATTCAAGCCCCACGTTGGGCAAAGATTACTTTTTTTAAAAAAGGCATCATTATATCTATTTTACAAATAAGATAACTGAGAACAAGAGTACCTTACAAACGATCTTGGACTCAAACTCAAATCTAACTATACAGTTTACACTCCACTATTTTTGGGAAATTGTTGTAGAAACAATGGCTATATTACCGGTACCTCAGAATTATTCTTCCATGAAGGCTAGTTCTATTTAAATCCTTGTATGTGTTAAATAATCTAAAGAATGTGGAAGTTCTTTTTAAAACACTAGAAAGGGATCTATAGTGTGCAGTATTCAATTATAAAATATTTACTGAATGCTTACCAAGAACTATTTTTGGTATTAAAAATAAAGCAGGGGGGTGCGCCTGGGTGGCTCAGTCAGTTAAAGCCTCTGCCTTCGGCTCAGGTCATGATCCCAGGGTCCTGGGATAGAGCCCCACGTCAGGCTCTGCTCAGCAGGAAGCCTGTTTCCTCCTCTCTCTCTGCCTGCCTCTCTGCCTACTTGTGACCTCTGTCAAATAAATAAATAAATAAAATCTTTTTCCCTTTTTTTTTTAAATAAATAATAAAGTAGGGGCACCTGGGTAGCTCAGTAGGATAAGCCTCTGCCTTCAGCTCAGGTCATGATCTTGGGGTCCTGGGATCGAACCCCGATCGGGCTCCCTGTTCAACAGAGCCTCTTCTTCACTCTCTTTCTGCCCTACCTCCCTCTCATGCCATCTCTTGTACTCTCTCTTGTGCTCTTGCAAATAAAGTCTTTAAAAAAAAATATCATTATCATGTTACAAGGTGAAAAGTGCTATGGAGAAAAATTAAGCACAGAAGACATCTGAGAAAAGCTACATTTTATTTTTTTTTTTTTTTTAAGATTTTATTTATTTAGAGAGAGAACACACACAAGGGCGGGAAAAGAAAAGGGAGAGGGAGAAGCTGGCTCTCTACGAAGTAGGGAGCCCAACTCAGGGCTTAATCGCAAGACCCTGGGAACATGATCTAAACCAAAGGCAGATGACTAACAGACTGAGCCACCCAGGCACTCCAGAACGATGTTAAATATGGTAGTCTATGAAGATCTAACTAAGAAATAAAGTGATTGTGTGTAGACCTGAGGGAAAAAAAGGAATGTCACAAAGATATTTGGGGAGAACCTACCCCAAGAAGAAAAGCAAGTGCAAAGACCCTGTATATATGGTATTCTTTGACATTAGCAAAGAGTAAAGTACAGCTAGAGTGGCATAAGCAAAGGGTGAAAAGTATGGAAGAGGCAACAGAGGTAGCAGAGGCAAAATATGAAGGGCCTTTTAAACCTCTGTAGGGACTCTCGCTTATACTGAGATAGGACCCAACAGAAAGTTTTGAGAAGAGGAGTGATTTGACTTACAATTTAACAGAATCATTGTGTTGAGAATAAACAAAACTGTGTTGAGACTAGGCAGGAGAAAGAACCTTAAGAGGGTCACCAGTTAGTAATAATCCAAGTAAAAAGATGATGTGGTCACAGCCAGAGTGACATAGAGATGAGAAGTGGTCAGAGTCTGGCTAGAATTCAAAGTCAAAGCCAGAACTGCTAAAGAATAGAAAAATGTAAGAAAAAGAGGAGCCAAGATACTAATGCTGAACTCCAGTGCCTTGTACACATGCATGTACTCAATAGATTAAGATTTAGTAAATGACAACTGGCATTTCCCCAGCTAAACTATAAATTCCCCTAACACAGCATCTGTGTCAGAATTCTAATCCTTCCACCTCGATTTAATAGCAACAACATTTTTGGCTAAAATTGAGCACTTAACATGTGTGGGGTATGCCCATACTATGCTAAGTAGCTGGCATGCACTGAGTCATTAAATCTTCACAACATCCAAGTGAGTGTAGTTTACATACCAAGAAATTGAGACTCTACTAGGAGTTAACTCCCTAAGACACATAACTGACAATCAAAATGCAGGCCGTTTGAATACAGTTTGCTTTTAACCACTCTATTACCCTCAACTTTTCCAAAAATGGAGCAATGACCCACTGTCTTATTCACTATCTTGGGCAAGTTACTTTTGTTCTCTGAAATTTTGTCTTCCTGTCTGTCAGACGTACATTATAGTACACATTTCCCACGTCGCGGTGAGACTACATGAGGGTCCATCGTGCACAGCGCCCGCTCCATAACTAACAATGCAGTTAACTTTATTGATGCTTGCGTAGCGCCGTGCACTATTCTCAATTATGCACGGGGCTCAGCTCATTTAATACAGCAACTTATGCGACAGAAAATGTGACTAACCTAGTTTACAGATCAGAAACTGAGGTGCAGAGGTGTTAAGGAACTTGGACCGGATCACATAACGAATACTTGGCACACTACAAGTTTGGACCAGGAGAATCTAACTTCAGAATTTATACTCTAAGCTCCCAGAGAGGTGAGTGATTTCCTTGCTCCTTTTTACTGAAAAGGAGGCCACGGTCGACGTGGCCAAAAGCTCACTCGTAAGCCACCCGGCCCCGGAGACTCCGCGAGTCAAATGAATGAGTGAAGCCACACCTAAGGTTAACCGCGGCCCCCGGCTGTGCCTCGGGGGCACCCGTAGCTCCGCGCCGCACTGGCACCTACCCCACCTCCACTCGCCCGCAGTCCCACCCGCTCGCCGGCCCTCCGTCACACACTCGACCCCAAAAGAGCCCGAGCCCATGCCCCTGCCCCACAGGGGAAAAGGCTCCCGCGTGGCCGGCTCCCGAGTGGCGAGCACTAGCCTCCCGCGGGCTACGGCCCACTCGCCAAGGCGTGCCGGCCGCGGGGCCCCGTCGTCGAGCCATGCACAACGCCTCACCCGGCGACGCCATTCCTCGGAGCAGGTCCCACCACCAGGGCCCGAGCCGCAGGCTGACTTCCGCTCGGGGAAGTGGCTCCAAGAGCGCGCCGGAGGGGACGCCAGGGACTCGCGGCAGGCTGCGCGTGCTGGGATGGGATCTAGGCACAGGTCAGTCTCCGCCGTCCCACTGGGTCGACCCGGTCCCAGCAGGCCGCGGCCCAAATTCCAGTTCCCGCGCGAAAGGGCGACGCTGTCCTCGCGTACAGGCCCGCCTCCCTCCCCCCGCGACCTGGACCACTTGGAACCGGCCGCCTCGCAACCGTCCTAATCCGGGTGCTACCAGTACGCGGTTGGACGAGGCTTCGGGATGGGCCTCAAACGGGGCCTCCGCTGATTGGCCGACCGCGGTGATTGGCCGGTGGCGCCGTCAGTCAGTCGTCTCTCGGCAGCCCGGCCAATTTTAAAGGAATGGGAAGGGTCCAGGGAGGAGGGGCAAGTAGTGCTCCAGGGTTTGGCTTTTCTTTTCTCGTTCGTTCTTTTTTTTTTTTTTTTTCCTCTTTAGGAAATTATGGCAACTTCCGCCAAAGATTGTTTCGCTTGTGAATAACTGACCTAGCGAGTGATGTTCTCTTTGGTTTGCAAAGCATTTCTGTAGACTTAGATTAACTTTGAGGAACGTATTAGCCCAATGTTACAGAAGGAGGAGGGTCAAAAATAGAAAAAAAAAAGTGACTCTTGAGATGAAAACAGATTGGCTTGTTTTAAAATAAGAAGAATCCAGTAATTTAAAAAAAAAAAAAAAAAAAAAGAACGGGCGCCTGGGTGGCTCAGTGGGTTAAGCCTCTGCCTTCAGCTCAGGTCATGATCTCAGGGTGCTGGATTCGAGGCCCCCAACGGGCTCTCCACTTGGTGGGGAGCCTGCTTCTCCCTCTCTCTGCTTACTTGTGATCTCTCTCTGTCAAATAAATAAATAAAATCTTAAAAAAAAAAAAAAAAGGAAGCGACTTACCTAGGAACTCCATAATAACTAACTCTAATTATTGGACATCTATAGGTTAACCCAATAGTGTAGTAAGACTCTAGTACATTATTTGATTTACGCCTTATCACCATTCTGTGAGGTCTGTACTGTGTTACTCCCATTTTATAGAGAAAGAAACTAAAAGATTTGAACCCAGACAGGCTGACCCCGTAATCTGTGCTTTTGACTCTTATGAACATACAAAATATGCACAGTATGGTAAATTTATTATTTGTATCCCAGATATTATTAACCGAGATAGGGGAGAGTGAGTTCTTTCTGTCTGCTGCTGTGCTATTCTGTAAAGTAGATACTAGCTGTATGTGGATATCTGAATTTGAGTTTAAATTAATTAAATTTTAAAACTCCATTCCTCAGTGGTGCTACACAAATTTCAAGAGCTCATTGGTCACATGTGGCTACTGGATATCATTTTGGATAGCACAGAATTAGAGAATATTTCCAATATCACAGAAAGTTCTATTGGATGGTGCTGATACAGAATACATAAAAAACTCTTCCAGGGTGTCTGAGTGGAGCACAAGGTTGAGCCTGGGACTTTTGGTTTCAGCTCAAGGCATGGTATCAGGGTCCTGATCTCAGGGTCCCCACTCATTGTGGAGTCTGCTTGAGACCCTCTCTCCCTCCACCTCTGCCCCTTGCCTCTACTCCCTCTCTCCCCCGCACAAAAATAAATAAATCTTAAAAAAAAAAAAATCTTCCAATTCAAAGTAAGACAACTGCTGTGGTGCTGAAGCCATCTCATAGTGGTTTGCAAGAGTCACTTACAAAATTTAGCAAGGGGGATGCCTGGGTGGCTCAGTCAGTTGAGCATCTTGATGTCAGCTCAGGTCATGATCTTGGAGTCATAGAATTGAGAACTACATACGGCTCCAGACTCAGGGTAGAGCCTGGTTGGGATTCTTTACCCCTTCCTCTCGCTCCCCCTGTGTTCCTCCGCCTGCTCTCACTCTCCCTCTCTATAAATAAATAAATAAAATATTTAAATTTAGCAAAAGTTTTGCAAATTGATTGCTAAATACAGCTATTTAGAAAAATTAAATTATACACACTTACAAGGAAATAAAGTCTATTGAAAACCAGTTCATTTCATTATTATTTTACCATATTGTGTGCTTTTGTGGTTTATCATATCTATTGCATCTATATGGTGGAAATATTATCTGGTGTTGTGCTACTGCACATCTTTTTCCAAAGTAACATCAGTAGCTTGATTTTGGCCACAATGGGAATATTTACACCATAGAATCAGCAAATGCTACATACCAGGGCTTGATTTTTTGCTTTGTTATATCTAAAGTTAATGATGGAAAAATGTTAATAAAGATTAAATTTAGAAGTGTGTCAAGTCTATAGGCTTTACAATGTAAATAGCCCAAAAACTTAAGGAAATATCATTCTAGTGTTTGAAAACTATTATCCAACTCAAAGAAGTCACCTCTGAAGTTTTGGTTACATCTTACTCATTAATGTAAATGAAAATATCAACCAGCATTCACTTAAAAACTACACTTAGAAAGTCTGCTTTAAACATTTGCCAGCATACCACTGCAAGTAACCCAGTAAAAAACACAGGCAAACGACTTGAATAGGCACTTCATCAAGATATATGTAGGGCAGATGAGCACATAAAACGATAACCAACATCATTACATATTGATTGCATTGTATATTAAGTCCCCAGGAGACATTGCTATACATCCACTGAAATAGTTAACATAAAAAGGACCGATAATACCAAATGCTAGCAAGGATGTGGAACAACTGGAACTCGCATATACTGCTGGTGGACATGAAAAATGGTGCAATCATATTGGAAAACAAATTTGTAGCTTTTTGAAAAGCCAGTTATATGACCTACGGCATGACCCAGCCATTCTACTCTTAGAGGATTTGTTTGCTTTGTTTTGTTTTTTGTTTGTTTTATTTATTTATTTTGTTTTTTGTTGATTTCATCTATTTATTTGAGAGGGATAGGGAACATGAGAATGAGCAGGGAGAGGGGCAGAGGGAGAAGTGAACTCCCTGATGAACAAGGAGCCTGATGCAAGGCCCCATCCCAAGCCCCTGGGATCATGACCTGAGCGAAAGGTAGACGCTTAACTGACTAAGCCACCCCAGTGCCCCGGTTTGTTTGTTTTTAATAAACTAGTTCTTTTAATTATTAAAATAAAATTTTAAAAATTCAGGCAAAAGTTTAAAAAGTTTGGGGCGCCTTCGGCTCAGGTCATGATCCCAGGGATCTGGGATCGAGCCCCACATCTCTGCTCCACGGGGAGCGTGCTTCCTCCTCTCTCTCTGCCTGCCTCTCTGCCTACTTGTGATCTCTGTCTGTCAAATAAATAAAATCTCTAAAAAAAAATCTTTAATAAAATCTTTAAAAAAATCTTTAAAAAAAAAGTTTAAAAAGTTTAAAAACTAAATTTTCTCTCAATTCCACTCTACAGAGGTTTGGTTTGAATACCTGAAGTTTTTCTTCATGTATCCCAACATTTATATGTGTCTGTGTGTCTGTAGGTGCACACAGTTTACATTGCTTACATTGCTTGACAACTTGCTTTTTCATCCATTAATAGATGCTAAGCATTTAACAAATAGAGATCTATTCCCTCACTCAGCCAATATTCATTGAGCATTACCATGCGCCAGGCATTCTAGTCTCTTCGAATACATCCATTAACAAAGCAGCCACCGATCTTTGCCTTCATGGAGCATACACTTCAGCAGGAGGAGATAGATGGTGAACAATATCATAAATAGGAGATTGACATATTAGAAGATATTGTATGCTACAGAAGCAAGAAAAAGTAAGAAAGGGTAACAGGAATTGGGGGCAGGGGTGTTCTATCTGAGTTTTTTTTAACAGCAGCCTAGTATTTCTTACCTATCCATTCATGCCCCATGAGGCCGACAATATGCTAGGTGCTGGCGGTTCAACCGTGACCATGTAGACAGGTTTCTCCCTTCATGGAGCTGCTGATGGGAGACCATGAGCAAACCCAAATGAACTTGATAATTGTAGGTAATGGTTAAATACTGTGGGAGGGGGTTGGGAAGAGGCTGCCTAACCTAGACCGGTGATCAATAAATGCTTCTCTGAGAAGGTGACATTTAAGCATTGCCTCAAGTGATGAGACAGAAGCAGTCCTGAAATACTAATATTTCTTGACAAACCGTAAGAGACTCTTAAGTCTAGGAAACAAACTGAGGTTCGGTGGAGGAGAGGTGAGTGTGGGGTTGAGGTAATTGGTTGATGGGCATTAAGGAGGGCACTTGATGCAATGAGCACTGGGTATTATATGCAATTGATGAATCTCTGAAATTAATAACACACTATATGTTAATTTACTGATTTTAAAATAAATAAATAAATAAATACAAATATTTCTAATCCCCTCTTCATTCCTAGGATCTGTAGTCAGGAAGAAGTAGTGATCCCTTGTGCTTCTGACAATGATTCAGGAAGTGTGGATTTGCAGCTGAGCAACTTAGAGGATATTAGAAAAGATCCAAGTAGCCTTGAACTTACAGGTAAGAGCGGGGGAGAGGTTTTGGTTTTTTGTTGTTGTTTTGTTTTTTTTTTTTTAAGGCAGGAAGGGAGGTGGAGAAAGGGGATTCTCTGTTGGAGTCAAGTTGCTGGATAAGAGCCTTCAACTAGACTTTGACAAGGAATTTGGTCCCTGAATTTAAGACCTTGGAATATGGTTGGCACAATGAGATAAAATATATTAGTCCAGACATAATAAGAAACTGAGATAGATAAGCCTGCAGACTTGCACAGAGTCTAAGTGCTAGAAGGATTCTAAGAAGGGAAAGGTAGTTGTGGGTGGACCCTTGATTGGGCTACAGAATATCTATCTTTTCATTTATTCTGCAAGCATTTACTGAGTACCAGTTGTTGAATATACAGCAATGAACAAGACCAACATGGTCCCTGCCCTCACAGAATTTGCTGAAAAGGAGTAGTAAGTAAACAGATATTAAATAAAGTAATTACAAATTGTAGTTAATACTACGAAATAATTATACAAGGGACTGAGACAAAAAACAAGGGGGATGAGAACCTATTTTAAGCCACGGCTGTCAGAGAACACCTATCTAAGAAGGACTGTTCAACCTAAAGGAGGCCTCAAGGACGTGAAAGAGAAACCCATGTGAGAAGCAGAGGAATGAACATCCCAGGTGGACATAATAGCATGTGCATGAGACAGGAAAGACTATTTGAGGATCTGCATTTCCCATGTCTACATTCATTCAACAAACATTTATTGAAGTCCTACTATGCCGTTAGCATGGATCTAGCTACTGGTTATTTAGTAACGAACAGAACAGACAGCGTAGTTGTGGATAGATGATTGGAACTCAGTTTAATATGGGTGATTGGGAGTGGGGGAGTAGGGAGCAAATATAAAGAAGCTTTTTAGCAGCTAGGAGGGTATTTGGTCAAAATGGGCAAAGAGGTGATTCAAGAAAGGCATCCTGGAGCAGATCCCTGAAGGATAAGTAGGAGGTAGGGAAGGTGGGGAAGAAGAAGGAGAAACGTGTAGGGAGAAGCATGAGAGCTAAATGAGATAGGGTTTCTAGTGCATGAGAAGAATGTGACAGTGGGTGGCAGGAATTTGGAAAGAGGCTGTAATTCAGGAGACCAAAAAGTGTGCAGAAGTGGAGGGGTAGAATTCCTGATGATGGGTGTGTTAAAAGGGAAATAGTAAGACTGTTTCCCCAACAGGAATAAAGAACTTGGTTTTGGAAAACAGGAGGTAAGGATGTAAAGCTATATGAAGAGGGAAATGATACCACTCTAATCATTGTTGCTCAGCAGAGGAATAATATTTGCCAACACTTCCTTGGTGCTAGCTCTGTGTCAACTAAATGAGGTAGGTTCTGTTATCATCCCCATCTAGGAAATGAAGAAATAGACCCAGAAAAAGTAAGATCACACATGGTCAGAATGCTAGAAAATAGCAGAGCAAGGATCCAAGCCTAGGCAGACAAACTCTGGAGCCTGTGCCTTTTATCAGAGTCTATCCCAGGTCTGGAAGGAGGATTCCTGAAGCACTTACTGCAGCCTGGTCCAGTGGGAAGAGATCATCGAGGGGATGCTACTGTATTTGAAGTTCTTGTCACCACAGAGTCATAGACGTTTGAATTTAATACTAGTATCTACCATTTAAGTACTTACTATGGACCACATACTGAGATAAGTCTTTGTATTCAGTACCTCACTTAGTCCTCACAATAACCCTGTTTTACAGGTAAAGAAACTAAGGTTCCAAGAGGCAAACTAACTTGATAAAGGTCATAGAATTAATAAGGGGTAGAGCCAGGATTCAAATTAATCTCAGACTGAGATTAAAAGTCCATGCTCTTAACCACTGTGCTATAGCTCAGTCTTGAAGGTTTTTGTAGCTTAGGAGGGCCTTAGACAACACTGAATTTGTAATTGGGAAGACTGAGACTTGGAGAGCAGAAGGGACTTCGTTAGGGTTGTGAAGCAGATAGTAAGGGTGAGACCAGGGCATGACTACCCTGACATCCGGTGGATCTCCCCATTATGAATGTAGAACTCTACATGGTACAGATAAGTCATCTGCTGTGTTTCTTTCGGTATTAGACTCCGACATCTCTGACATTGCTGGACTGTCTCGGGATTCGCTCACAGGTAGCTTCAGGCACCTGACCCAAAAGGGCGCCCTCAGTGAGGCCGTTGTTGAGAGGCTAATCCGATCTATCCAGGAGGTTTTTGATGGTGAGCTACAGGTATGCACAAGCAATCGTACTGAGTCATCCAACTTATTCCTCCATTTTAACAACTATTTTAAACATTTATGATTTCTTTATCATACAGATAATTGATATTATAGACTATAAAATTTATGTTTATATTTATTTTTATATTAAACATTTATATACATTTATAAACTGTATTTATATTTATGCTTCTGTTTACAAAAACTATAAAATGCCTATTAAAAGAAAGAAAAGAAGAAGAAAAATGAATCTTCCCTAATCCACTCTCCTGAGATAACTGTTAACATTTTAGTATATATATTTTCAGACTTTTTCTTCTGTACATACAAATGCATGTAATTATAGAAAAATAAACATCAGACATGGTGGGAGGAAAAAGGTTTTCTAGGTGAATAGCTTTGGATCTATATTACCCTACTCAATAGCTTTGGATCTATATTACCCTACTTACTTTGGGTCTATATTACCCTACATAATACAGTATTCTGTTGTTTAGTAAAACATTCATTCATTCATTTATTCTGCAAGAGCTCATAAGAGAAAATTTTATCTTACCCTGGGAGTAAGGGAAGGCATTTCTGAGGAAGGAACCCTTGAGATCAGATCTGAGGAATGAATAGGAAAAACTAAGAGAAGTTAGAATTGGAGGAAGTATTCCAGAAATAGGGCATTGTCTGTGTAACAGCCTTGAGGCAGAAAGGAGCAGAACATGTTTGATGAACTCACAGAAGCCTGGTATGTCTGTCTGTCCTTTGTTAACAGACACTTGGGTTGTTTCCATATATTAGCTCTTTTGAATAATGTTGTGGTGAACATGGGAGTGCACATTACCTCTTTCAGATCCAGATTTCATTTCCTTTGAATATATATACGCAGAGGATTCTAGTTTGGGAAAATTTGTCAAACTTTACATTTTCTCTGTGTGTAATGCTAATAAAAACTTTTGGGAAAAACACTTAAAGCCAGAATGTTGGTCTTTCCTTTTGACTCAAACATTTCTTTACACTTCATGCCAGCAGGACTTTATAAAACATTTCTTTGTAATTAATAAAGGGTAGGGATTGCTGCAGTTAATTGAAAAAAAGAGAAAATCCATTCCCTGCTTTGACCTGAATCCACAACCAGGCAGAAAAATAGATGAAAAGAAGGTGATTTTGTCAGAGTATCACAAATACCATAATAGCAATATATACTATGTGCTTTATGGATACTCCTGGGAAGGGCAGCCAATGCTGGTTCAAGAGAAAATGCATTTTTCTAGTCTTAAAGGATATATAGATTTTAGTCAGTAAGCAAAGTAGGTATAGAGAATTCAGTAGGTGCAAAGGCCCAGAACCAAGAAAGGGCAGCATAAAAGTTAATCTGTCTAAAGTTCAGAATGCTGCAGGCAAGGAGGAGATGAATTTGAAGAAATTAGCTGAGGTCACATTGGGAAGGCCTTGACCTCCATGGGTGCTATTGAAAGATATTTTGGTAGGGAGTTACCTGATCAAGCTTTCATTTAATGAAGATGAATGTGGTAATAGCTAGAGGAATAGATTGGAGGGCGTCAAAACTGGAGCAGGGAAATTCAATGTTGATTGTTACATTAAGGTAGATGAGAAAGAATTAAACTATGAAGTCAGATTCTGATTGTATATATCACTACTTGCTGTTCAGAGAGCTAATACCAGGTTATACTATCCATAGGCTGGGAGGAAAAAATGAAAAGAAATTTTCCCAAGATTGTGGAATTATTGACATCTTTTATTGTCTTCATACTTTATTTTTTCCCAAGTTTCTGTGATAGATACTGCTTTTATAATCAGAAAAAGAATAATGCAAAAGATTTTACTTTTCAAATAAAAACTTGCATTTTAATAGGGAACCTTATAGACTCAAAATAATATTTAATGACATCAAGAGATCTAGAAGTAACAGTCAAAGTCACCGTTAGGAAGTTTAATCAGACAGCAGTATATAGACAGGATGGGTAGATGGGGAAGCAAAGACTAAAGGTGGGGAGAGCCATCATGGAGCAGTTAGTAATCCAGGATTTCATCTAGCTGAGAGGGAAAACAAAGTCCCAAGCCCAGGCAGGGCAAGTGGACAAGGAGTTCCATTCCTCTGTAATTTATTCATTCCTTATAATAAAAGACCTGAGGGCGCCTGGGTGCCTCAGTCAGTTAAATGACTGTTAATGTTAAGTTAAATGCTTCAGCTCAGGAAATGATCTGAAGTCACAGGATCCAGTCCCACATCGGGCTCCCTGCTCAGAGAAGAGTCTGCTTCTCCCTCTGACCCTCTCCCCCTTCATTCTCTCTCTTTCTCTCTCTCTCAAATAAATAAAATCTTTTTAAAAATAAATAAATAAATAGACAGATAAAAGACCTGAGACTAGTTTGAATGAGATGTCAGATGTTTAGAACATCAAAAGAAACTTCTCAAAAACCCTCTAAAATTATCAAATGAGATTGTAATATGTAATTGTGTCTTTATCATTCTTCCACAAATTCAGAGTGAACTTGAGAAGCTGGCATTCCTACAATCTTTGTCTTCTCTCAGCCGAACTTTACCTTACGATGAAACCACAGAATCATTCATTCACAACCACATAGCAGACATTGTGCGTATCCTAAATGTAAGTATTGTGACCTTATCACAAATTATCAGGACCACACAAATTCATGACTTGACTAACAGATGTTTTAGTGGCTTCATATATATTATCAATTTCCTTGACCTCTTCTTGTATCAGTATCTGTATATGGAGGAGAAATAGGCGTACTCCACAAATATAATTACAATTGAAAACCAACTAAAAGATGAGTAGAAAGGAGGGAAACAGCATGTAAATTCTCAGTAAGGACAATACTGCATTCTTGTTAATGAAGCCATAGTCGTGAGGCAAACTCTATAATCCAATGCCCAGGTTCAGGTTGCCAGCTATGCCTCTTTCCCGCTGTGTGACTTTGGGAATCTGTGCAACTTCTCAGTGCCTCATCTTCTTCATCTACAAAATAAGAATAGCTGTATCCTTCACAGAGCTATTGAGAGTATTAAATTAAAAATAAACATACGTGGGCACCTGGGTGACTCAGTGGGTTAAAGCCTCTGCTTTCGGCTCAGGTCATGATCCCAGGGTCCTGGAATCGAGCCCCGCATTGGGCTCTCTGCTTGGCGAGGAGCCTGTTTCCCCTTCTCTCTCTCTGCCTGCTTCTCTGTCTACTTGTGATCTCTGTCAAATAAACAAATAAAATCCTTAAAAAAAAAAAAAGAAAGAAATGAGCTATTGATACATGCTAAAACTTAAACGAATCTCAAAACAGTCATGCTGTGTGGAAGAAGCCCGATGAAGAAGATACAGGTCATATGATTCTATTTGGAGAAAATTCTCAAAAATGCCAACTGATGTAAAGTGACATCAGATCAGTGGTTACCTGAAAATAGTAGAATGGGGAGGAACAGGAGTGTGAAATTACAAAGTTTGTACAAACAAACTTTTGGGAGTAATCCATATGTTCATTATCTTGATTGTGATGATGATATTTTGCAAATGTATACGTAAGTCAAAAATCTCAAACTATACACTTTAAATATGTACAGTTTGTTGTGTGTCTATTACCTCAAAGTCAAAAAAGCTGTAAAAATTTTGTTGAGAACTTTAATCGAAAAGAAGAAATGCAGTGGCAACTAGGATATGAAGGAAAGATGACAAGATTGGCATGAAATTAATCCAGATAGATCTCCTGATCTAAGCCTCAAAGGATGTGCTGGATAGGGTAGACAGAAGGGACCAGAATGTAGGGGCTTTGATCGGCAGATTCCTACCTAGCTATGTCAAGACAGAATGTCAGTGCAGGTACTTTTTAGATGCTCCTGGTGCCCCACAGCAGACATGAGCACTAAGACCTCTAATCCTGGAATGTTCATGGCGTCCAGCTTGTGCTTGGGGGTCCAACCTAATTCTGCACGTGGGGTCCTCCACAAAATCCTACTATTTCCAGGTTGTTTGGTAAATAAAGTTACACTCACCATTGAACAGACACCATTGAACAGATCACGTGAGCCGTGAGGCAGGCAGTAGATGAGAAGGACTTTTCAGGAAGTCTCTTCAGTGGTATGGGTAATAAACGCTGAAGGATTTTGGAGGATGAACAGTTCTCAGTAGACTGAACCAACATGAAAAGACTGCCCAGTTGTGCCGGTAGATTTCGAGCTCCCTGAAGCATGGCGGTGAAGAAGAAAGGGAGCTCTTTTACGAATTACAAGACACAATTTCTAGTTCCAGTGCTGTCAAGCACAACCTGTGTGATCTCAGGCAGATCACCTAGCTTTTCTGAACCTCTAGCTCCACCTGGAAAATGGAGATAGTAATATCTGTCTGGCTTTTGTTAAAGCCTTTGAGAGAAAATGCCTCATTTGGTTAAGATTCTTCTTGGAGAAAGCAATAAAAACCAACTCTGGCTTACTTAAGTTAAAAGGAAGGAAGAAAGGAAAAACAGGAGGCTGGGATATCTCCCTAGAATCTACCTTTTATCAATCAAGCCTCCAGAAGAGTATGTTCCAGGACAACTCCTAGGGTTTCAAAGGGGGTAGGGTTGCTCTCCTATCACGATGACTTACACATTTAGGTGCTCCCAATCTGTGTCTGTCATTCAAAAATTCCAGATGCTGGGAGAAAGAATCTGATTGGCCCAGACTGGGTCTGTTCTCTACTCCTTCCTCAACCAGGCATGTTTGGAGGGCAGCATCATATAGGAAGGGCATGACTTCTGGGCATCCCTCTCTGTGTCTTGGAGGCCATTCCCAGAGAAGAGATGATTGCTGTGATCTGGAGAGTCACCCCAAGAGGTTCCTACTACACAAATACTTGACAAACAAAAAATAGCCTCTCGTTTCTGAATTCCCCATTGAAGTTAGCATAATTGTGAATAAATAATAAGCCTTTCATACCTAACTGATTGAAAAAAGGAATTGCAGGCCTGGTGGCTTAGCTAAGAGGCCCTGCCTTCATCCACATGTGAGGCGTGTGGCTGTAGGGATGGAGAGTCAGAAACTGTGCAGAGCCATCATCGTGGTTGATTGGATGCGGGAAATGAATAAAGGGAGAAATGTAAATCATAGGTCATCTCTTTCATGAGCCCTGGGAAAGAGTACCATTGACAGCAGTAGGCTGGGAAGGTGTGTCCTTTGGAGGAGGAAGATAATGAACTCACTTTTTAACACCAAATTGCCAGAGGCAGCTGGGCTTTTAGTGGTGATGCCTGTGAGATAGCTAGATTTAGGTTAGTAGAGCTCTGGGAGGCTGAAGCCATGAAATTAAGTGAGTTCCTTGGGGAAACAAGAAAGAGCATCAGGTCACCAGCAAGATCTGACCAGAGTTGGAAAGTGAGAAAGGGGCACCTAGGTGGCTCAGTGGGTTAAAGCTTCTGCCTTCGGCTCAGGTCATGATCTCAGGGTCCTGGGATGGAGCCCTGCATCGGGCTCTCTGCTCAGCAGAGAGCCTGCTTCCCCCTCTCTCTCTGCCTGCCTCTCTGCCTCTGCTTGTGATCTCTCTCTGTGTCAAATAAATAAAATCTTTCAAAAAAAGAAAGAAAAGAAGGAAGGAAGGAAGGAAGGAAGGAAGGAAGGAAGGAAGGAAGGAAGGGAGAAAGAAAGAAAGAAAGAAAGAAAGAAAGGAAGGAAGGAAGGAAGGAAGGAAGGAAGGAAGGAGAAGAGTAAAGAAGGGGCAAGAAAGAGAACACAGTAATAATTATTGAATGCTACCTCCCGGACATTAAGTTCCTGGTGGGTCTTTTTGGTGGCAGGTTAGAGAAATCTACTAGAGGCAACTGAAACACTAAAGGGGAGATTGAGTCTGAGGATAACTGAGTATTCCCAGAATCCTGTAACAGGAAGACCAACATGCTCCAAGAAGAGAATGAAGCCAGAAAAAAAACCAAAAAACAAAAATTTTCACATACTCAGAACTTTCTCTCCATCTCTCATCTTTGTTCCTTTGTGTATACTTTCATTTCTCTCTGTCCCTTACCTCTCTTCCCAAAATTGGCTCTCTCTGTCACCTTTTCCACAGGGCACAGGGCTCCCAAATTTTCAATTTTCTCTTTTTAGTAGGCCAGCCAGACTGAGATCAAGGCTCTTGGTCTCAATTCCAGAGTGCTGAGAAAAAGACTCTACTCCTGTCCAGATAAGCTGTAGTTATTGGGACAGAATGACTTAGCAGAAGCATGGCTATGAGGTGCCCATTCTGTGACCCAGGGACATTTTCCAGAGAGGCTGGGTAGACAGCCCAGGAAGGCTTCCACTGCAACCATTTGCTTTTGCTCTTTCTGTCAACTCCCTGAGATTTCTCTTTTCCTCCACACATAACAGGAAACTCGGGCCCAGGAAAAGTAAATGCTACATTCCAGGTGACACAGGGAGGGAGTGGCAGAACCCGTGCCCAAACCCAGATGCTGTCTAGCTCCAGAGCCTCTTTTTTCCTCTCTTGTCACTGTGCAGATTTTTCTGGAAAGCAAGGCAGCTTTCCAAACTCTGCCAATTTGGAATTTGGAAAACTATTCCTTTTCTAGGACAAGCACATAATAATATTAGTCCCTATCGTAGAGATTGCTGCTTGGTAGAACGAGGAGTTAGGAGGCCTAAACTGGAAATAATCACAAGTAGTAAAAATAATGAGTAACAGACGCTAACAGTTCTCAAGGGCTACTAGGAATTATGAATTAACTCCTTAGTGTTCCCAGTTGCCTTGTGATGGTAAACAGTACAGTTACCTCATTTTACAATGGGGAAACTGAGGTACAGGGAGGTTAAATAACTTGTGTCCACTCCAACAACTAGTAATAGGCCACGCCGGGCCTGATGCTCTGGCTCCAGAGACTAAATTCCTGGCCTGGCCACTGTCCTGCTGCTGGTCCTGCAGAGCTAAGAGCAGGACCTGATGAAGTCCCTGCAGTGGTTCTTGCAAACCATCTACATCTGCGATCGTCTGGCCCAAGGATGTGTGGCACGTTCTTGACTCTGGTTTAAAGTCCTTGCCCTCTCATTGCAGATGCTGGTAGAAGAGGAGCCTGTGCATTCTCTCTTCAGCTCCGTGCGCCAGGAGGTCTTTGTCACCATCGCTGACCTCAGGTGACACCCACACGCCCCCTCCCCCCACACACACATGTACTGCTCTCTCGGTCATGGCCAATACCAGAGCCAACTGACGTGCTCCATATCTTTAACTTTGGCAAACTATTTATAGAGGGAAGGGGACACCCATCCGTGTTTCCTGTGTAAGAAATTTGATTTCATATATGCTGCCCTCCATATCTGAAAGACCTTAGGGGAACCTCTTTGGAGTTCAGTTTTGTCCATAGTATATTCAGTGGAAAGTTACTCTCCTGAGTGCTTCATGACAGTAGAGTTCCACAGTCCAAGAAATTTGGAAGGGCTGCCTGCTGTCTATTTAACTTATTAAAAGGTCCTAAGAAATCCTATAGTTAAAAAGATTTTTTTATTTGGTTCAATCCACCATTACCCAAACTAACAAACATTCAGCAGAACATCTTTCAGAAAATCATGGTTTACATGTTAGACTATAGCAGGCTTTCCTCCGTGGTTAAGCTGCAGGAAACCCTAGAAGAATATCATTCCAGTAACTTCTTGGGAAGGTGGGGAGGGACAGAGAAGAAGGATGGAAGCTCTGAGCCCTGAAACTCTTCCTCCAGCATTTTGTGAGATTTGTCTAAGAAGCACGCCCTTTGTCTCTTCCATCAGAATTACACACCAATTAGTCCACCTTTCCTCTTGGGTTCCTTCAACCCCTGCTTACCAATGTCAGATCAAACTCTTCCCAGATTACTCTTCCTAAACTGTCTTTTCTTAGTTACCAAGATGTCCACTTGCTATTTGGCTCTGAAGATCGAGCTGATTTGTTCAGTCTTATTACGAGAAGTATAATCGCTCTGCCCTCTGTAACAACTCTTATCCAGCTGCAGGAAATCATGCCAAGTGGGTCCTACAACACAGAGGTAACTCCTGCTTTGGTTTACTAACTTGCCATCTACAGGGTCAGCTGATCATGGCCCTTCGAGAGTACATTTAATTTTATGGAACTAGCCAAAAGTCATTTCAGCCAGGTCTGCTGAATAAAATAAACAGTTAAATTAAATAGCTTTTCCCCCTCTTTATTTTCCTTTCTTCTCTTTCCTTTTCTTATTTATTTATTTACTTACTTATTTAAGAAAGAGAGGGAAAGGGAGAGAGAACCTCAAGCAGACTCTGTGCTGAGCACAGAGCCCGATGCGGGGCTCGATAGATCTCACCACCCTGAAATCATGACCTGAGCTATAACCAAGAGTCAGACACTTAACTGACTGTGCCACCCAGGCGGCCCTCTCTATTATTTTTTTTTTAAGATTTTTACTTATTTGAGAAAGAGCACGTATACATGTGCACAAGGGGGGGAGGGGCAGAAGAAGAGGGACAAGCAGTCTCTGAGCCCGACATGGGACTCCACCCCACATCCCTGTGGTGGGATGTCCTGAGCCAAAATCAAGAATCAGATGCTTAAACCAACTGAGCTAAACAGGTGTGCACGCTCTCTTTGTCTTTTTTTTCCCCCTCATTCCTTCTTTCCTGGCTTTTGGCTTTAAAATAAGGTGAGAGTGTTCATATACTTGGCATATACTTAGAGTTACCATATGCTAAACATCATGAGAGGCAACAGAAATACAGTGGTAACCTCTCTCTACTGGGGAGCTTATATCCTAGTATAGATATACAAACCACTGATAAGTATATCAGGTGGTAATATGTGCAATATTAAAAAAAAAATAGAACAGGGGCATCTGGGTGGCTCAGTTGGTTAAGCAGCTGACTCTTCACTTCGGCTCAGATCATGATCTCAGGGTCCTGGGATCCAGCCCTGTGTCAGGCTCCTGCTCTTCATGGAGTCTGATGGAGATTCTCTCTCTCCGTCCCCCTCTGCCCCTGCTCACTCACATGCTTTCTGTTTCTCTGGCTCTCTCAAATAAAAAAAATTTTTTTTTAATTGAACAGGGAAAGAGGAGACAAAGAGTACTGTGGGTGGGAGGCTTTTATACGTAGGGTGGTCAGGGAAAGTCCTCCTGATGTGACAGTTGAAAAGAGGAGATGGGTCTCTCTGGAGGAGAAGCTTTCAGGCAGAGAAGAGGAAATGCAAAGGCCTTGATTTTCTTCTGCAGCTAATAAATTGGTTGGTAAAGCAGTTGCCAAAGGGGACTTTATTCCCCTTTGTTTCAAGATGTCAGAAAGAGTCACAAGTCGAATTTTAAAACTATCTTGATGACCCTAACTGACTTCCTAAATGTAGTTAGAATCATTAACTGTATTCCCAGTAATGCTGAGATGTCCACTGAACATGAACATATTGTGGGGCACCTGGCTGGCTCAGTTGGTGGTACGTGTGACTCTTGATCTCTGGATTGGAAATTCAAGCCCCATGTAGAGATTACTTAAAAATAAAATCTTAAGAAAAAAAAGAAAATGAATATATTGTTTCACCTCACCTCGCAAACTGCCTACCAGTACTTTCACACTGATTCTGTGCCTTTGAGTAAAGTCGCAAGATAAGAGCCTTAATTAAGGGGCGCCTGGGTGGCTCAGTGGGTTGAAGCCTCTGCCTTCGGCTCGGGTCATGATCTCAGAGTCCTGGGATCGAGCCCCACATCGGGCTCTCTGCTCAGCAGGAAGCCTGCTTCCTCCTCTCTCTCTGCCTTCCTCTCTGCCTACTTGTAATCTCTGTCTGTCAAATAAATAAATAAAATCTTAAAAAAATATATTAAAAAAAAAGACATTAAAAAAAAAAAAGAGCCTTAATTAAAAGTGTACATTGTAATTGGTGGGAATGCAAACTGGTGAAGCCACTCAGGAAAAGAGTGTGGACATTCCTCAAAAAGTTACAGATAGAACTACCCTATGATCCAGCAACTTACCCAAAGGAAACAAAAACACTAAATCAAAGGGATACGTGCACCCTGATGTGTACAGCCGCATTGTCACCAATAGCCTAATTATGGAAGGAGCCCAAGTGTCTGTTGACTGCTGAATGGATAAAGTGGTGTGAATATATATACACACATACACACAATGGAATATTACCCAGCCATAAAAAAGGACATCTTGCCATTTGCAAAGATGTAGATAGAGCTAGAGAGTATTATGCTAAGTGAAATAAGCCAGGCAGAGAAAGACAAATACTATATGATTTCACTCTTATGTGGAATTTAAGAAACAAAACAAATGAACATGGTGGGGAGAGAGGGGAAACCAAGCAGACGCTGAACTGTAGAGCACCAGGTGTTGTGTATAAGTGATGAATCACTAAATTCTACACCTGAAATTAATATTACACTCTGTTAACAGGAATTTATTTTTTTAAAAACATCTGATTTTTGTTTGTTTTAAAGATTTTACTTAATTATTTGACACACAGAGAGAGAGGGAGCACAGGTAGGCAGACCAGCAGGCAGTAGAAGAAACAGGCTCCCCGCTGAGCAGAGAGCCCAATATGGGGCTTGATACCAGTACCCCAGGATCATGACCTGAACCGAAAGCAGACACTTAACCAACTGAGCCACGCAGGTGCCCCTAACTAACAGGAATTTAAGCAAAAACTTGGAAAGAAGAGGAGCACTTTGGTGGCTCAGTCGGTTAAGCATCTCCCTTTGGCTCAGGCTGTGATCCCAGAGTCCCAGGATTGAGCCCCACATTGGGCTCCCTGCTTAGCAGGGAGTCCGCTTCTCCCTCTGATCCTGCACTCCCCTCGTGCTCTCTCTCGCTCTCTCTCAAATAAATTAATAACATCTTAAAAAAAAAAACTTGGAAAGAAGAAAAAATAAACTGTGTAGAAGCAAAAAAAAAAAAAATTGTATAGAGTTGGGGAACTTCATGATGGTGGGGGCTAGGGACATCACTGATCCTGTGCCTTTTCAGTGTCTCTACAGGCAGACATTTCAAGCATTCTCTGAGATGCTCCAGAGTTTGGTAGTAAAAGACCCACATCTGGAAAACCTTGACACCATTTTTAAGGTAAATTAGGATACAGAGAAAAAGGGAAACTATTTCTGTTAACTCATGAAAGTGGAAGAAGAAAATGTGGAAGGTGGGCGCCTGGGTGGCTCAGTCATTAAGCAGCTGCCTTCAGCTCAGGTCATGATCCCAGGGACCTGGGATCGAGCCCCACATCGGGCTCTCTGCTCATCGGGAAGCCTGCTTCTCCCTCTTGCACTCCCCCTGCTTCTGTTCCCTCTCTCGCTGTGTCTTTCTGTCAAGGAGATAAATTTTTCAAAAATGTGGAAGAATTAAGTTTAAAGAGCTAGCACAGGGGTGCATGGGTGGCACAGTTGGTTAAGTGTCTGACTCTTGATTTCAGCTCAAGTCATGATCTCGGGGTCGTGAGATTGAGCCCTGTGTCAGGCTCCGCACTCAGTGGGGAATCTGCTTGAGATTCTCTCCCTCTCTCTCTCCCCCCAGAGAGAAGTGCACACACTTCTCTCTAAAATAAATAAATATATCTTTAAAAAAAAAAAAAAGTACAGTAGTTAAGAGTATCAGCTATCAATTTTGCATTAGACTTGGCTTCCAATTCTGACTCTGTGCCATTCCTGGGGTATAAAGTCAGCAAAGAATATAATCTCTCAGAGTCTTATCTCACTTTCAAATTGAGATAATAATTATGGTGAGTATTGAATAAATGACCTTCAGTAAGTGGTTTAATGGTTGCTATTATTGTTCCTTAAATTCCTGTTGCTTACTAGCGTAGAAGGGTTTCAATCAGTGGCCAGAGAACACGGTCACCTCATGAGTGAGTAAATAGGCAGGTGCCCAGCAGGCAGAATTCAAGGTCATTAATTACCACCTGTCCCCACCTGTACCCCTTCCAGCATATGCCATTCTGTCATTAGAGATTTTTTCTCTAGAGTGCATTCACTGCACTTCAAGCGTCTTACTGTCTTGTCCCCTTTTAAGATACAGATATCCCAGAAAGGAATAACCCTTTAAAATACTATTAATCATCCGTGCCTAAGCATAGACGGACATTTATCTTTGCCACAGTTGACCTTAACGTTAGTTCTCATTCTTCTTCTGTTTGTACATCAACACTCCAGCCAGATTTGGTTTCTCCCCTTTGTCCAGTTGTGCCTTGTACCTTTCTGTATTGGCAGCTTAATTCAAACTCTTCCTTTTTACCAAAAAGGAGAAGTTTTTTCCTTGGCCACATGGGGCCACGAAATGGCACCTTTATGAAGATCCTAGTCATGAATGTTACCTTCTCCAGGAATTCTTCCCAGACTGTTGCAGGCTGATGCAATTTCTCCATCCTCAGAGTTCTTTAATAACATGACATTGGTGTTCTTTCCTCCCAAAGCACATTTCAGAAAACTAGAAACATACAGGAGAATAGGATAAATAATTGAAGAAAGTGGGATGAACAGAAAATAAGTCTGGAAAATAAGCCTCTTTGGAAGCCAGGCCATTGATCCCAAATCTGTTTGCCTTCCCACCACTTTCATTTCTAATCCCAACTGGCTTATCATTTTAGGAAGACATTTTCAGATATAGTGATGACCTGTGGACCTTCTCTCTCCACAAAGACGTTATCCCAAATCTTCCTGGTAAGTTATTTAGGCTTCCTTTATTTTTCACAGCAAATGGACCCCTGGTTACAATCAGCCAAAGACCATGAGCGGGAAAGGGCCACAGCCAGCATGGCGCAAGTTCTAAAGTGCTTATCCGGACACCTCAGCCTGAAGGTAAGCAGCCCTTCAGTCACTCAGGAGGAAGGATCCAAAGCCATCCCATTACTGCCTATTTCCCCTCCACTGTATGACTCCCCAAACTGGTGATTCACTTGGTGCCCCAGATAATACCATGGCACTTAGCATTATTCGCATATCTGCCCCTCAAAAATTTGAGCAGTTTGAGGCTAGGTCTATGTTGATTAACCTTGCTTCCCTGTTGCTTAACACAAGAGCTGGAACATAACAATACAGTAAATATTTTTGAATGAAGGAAGGAATAAATGTGACCTAAAAATATCTGAGGTTCCCCAGTGGCTTGGACTCTGTGCAGTGTTGTATTTGGAGTAACAAAGTCCAGCAGCAAATGTAAGTAAATCAAGTTAAATATCTCCCAGCATCTCACAGAGAAGGGCTCTGGGGCTCCTCTTTTTAAACCCTCTCATTTGTCTCTTTCACTCTCTCGCTTCTCAGTTCTTCTGAATGCTTCTCCATACCTTCTGAAAAGAGTTTCTCAAAATGAAGATCTTCCTTCCTGGATCTATTCCTTTCTTCATCTGTGAGTCTCTTTCCTCTTTCCTAACAGATCTTCCAGGCACTAGAGCATCTCCTGTGCTCCAGCCATCATTTCTCCAGTCTGCATAACAAGGCCTGGGAATTGCAAGAGAAGTTGGTGGGGTAGGAATTCTAGGTCCTAATGCTAATTTTCCTTCGAGAATTTGTCCTTGATATAAATATCCTAACAGTCATGCTTATTAGAAGGTTGGCATCCCTCTAACTTTCTTATTTCTCCTACTGGACATACATCCAAACTTTCCACCTCCTTACTGAAGTAAGTTCAGTCCCTCAAATTATGCTACTTCCTTTTTTCTCTCTTTAGTCCATGAGAACAAATAACTTCTAGCCACCACTGACTACCCTATTATTCTGTCATCACATTGTTTTCCCTTCTACATTTTTCCACCTCTAATGTTGACTGCAGACTAAAGATGAGTTTCAAATGACTCCCTCTTATACATAATCTTTCCCTAGGCCCTGAACATCTTCCTTAGAGTTTTCTTCCTAGGGAGATCTGCTAATTTAAGGGTGCTAAACCGAGATGCCGTTCGAGTCTGTAAACATCTGGAATGCTGTGGGCAGAATTTTGTGTGGTGTAGTCTTCTGGAGTTTTCTGCAAGGTCCATAGCTTTATTAGCTTGATTGAGTTGTTATCATGCAGAGATAGGCAGTGTTAACAATTTTATTTATTCCTTCTGAGAACACTTGTGCATGAGTGTGCACTTTAGTTCCTTCTAGTTCTCCCCATGTGGCCAGAGTTATCATCTTGAAACCCATGTCACTCTTTTGCTCCAATGATTTTCAACTGTTCCTAGAGTACAAGGTCTTGTATGATCTAATTCCTGCCTGCCTCCTTGCACTCCCTGACTTACTCCAGCCACACTGGCCTCCTTTCTATTCCTTACCATATAAAGCTCTTCCTGACTCCTGGCCTTTGCACTTACTACTTCCTCTGCTTGGAATGACTTTCCCCAACTCTTCACATAGCTAGCTCCTCCTCATTCTTTAGTGCTTAGTTCAAGTGTTTCCACCTCAAAAAGGCCTTTACTTACAAATAGATCTATGCTTACACTCTGTCTCATCACTCTTTCCTTCCTAAGGCTTCTTAGAATGAGGTTATCATGTTTGTTTCCTTATTTATTGCCTGTTTTTCTCTTAGAGAATGTAAATTCCATGGGTGATTATCCTTGTCTTGTTCACCAGAACATCCCCAGTGCCTAGCACAAGCTATGTCACACAGTAGATGCTCAATCAAATATGCATTCAACAGGGGTGCCTGGGCGGCTCAGGGGGTTAAGCCTCTGCCTTCAGCTCAGGTCATGATCCCAGGTTCCTGGGATCATGCCCCGAATTGGGCTCTCTGCTCAGTAGGGAGCCTGCTTCCCCCTCTCTCTGCCTGCTTCTCTACCTACTTGTGATCTCTGTCAAATAAATAAAATCTTCAAAAAAAAAAAAAAAGATGCATTCAACAAACATGGGTCAGCTCATGTCCCTTCTCTGTTCACAACTCTCCACGGAAAAAATATCCAAAATCCTTCAAGTATTGCCTACGTTGCCATACCATCAGCCTCATCTTGCTCCTATTTCTTTTGCTCTCATTCGCTCCAGCCAACCCAACCTACTCATTCCTCAGAAACAGCAAACACAGTCCTTTCTCTTCACACTTGCATGCCATTCCCTCTGCCTGGGATGCTGGTCTCCCAGATCTCTACGGGACTCAGTCCCTGCTTTCAACATCAGTGAGGTCTTCCCTCGTCATTCTAAAACTGCAATTCCTGTCTTTTCTTCCGTACATTTGTTTTTTACACAGCATTTATGACCATTTAATACATAATAAATTTTATTTCTTTGCTATTTTGTGTTCCTCCAACTAGAATATCCCTTCCACGACCAGGGATGTGATCTTTTGTTCACAGCTTGTATCCACCGTGCCGGTCACAGTGCCGCGACCGTAAGTGTCATTCCCGGTTCATAAGTGACACTCAGTATCTGTCGAGGGGATGAATGGTTGCATCTGTGAGCGGAAGACATTACACAGCTTTGTGTAGGTGTTGCTGTGCTGATTGTAAATTAGTGAAACAGGCTACTGTTCACAATATCTCAGTCTGTTTTTCTAAACAGCCACAGAAGGAATTTCTCTTTGCTTCAGTCCCAGGAACAGTTGTGCTTCCTCTGCCCGGTGTTTGCTGCTTCTCTTATGGGCAGCGTGAATCATATTATATGAGACACAGTATGTAATTCCACATCAGCCCTGAGAAAGTTCAGAGCCTAGCTCTGGGACCTACCTTGAGCAAATGATTGTGCATCCTGCACGCTAACCAAATTCATAACATTTATCTTTGCTACCTTCACTTTCTAGTTTGTCTTTGTTAATTTACTTTTACTCTTTTTACTTTTTTCACTATTTATTTTAAATTATATTTCTTTTTTCCCTAATAAGCAAAATATCAATAAACAAATTTTTTAAATTGTATTAAATGATGCACGTCAAGTTTGCATCCAACTTTTTCACTTAGCAAACTAGCACATTTTCTCACCTTATTATAAATTCCTGGGATACTTGATTCCTAATGGTTATATTCATGGAGTCACTATACCATAGTTCTCTTTACTATTAGGCAATTATTTCCAATATGTGGTCTTTAAAAACAGTCCTAGAATAAATATCTTTTTCTTTTCCTTTCATTTTTTTTTTAAGATTTTTATTTATTTATTTGACAGAGATCACAAGTAGGCAGAGAGAGAGGAAGGGAAGCAGGCTCCCCGCTGAGCAGAGAGTCTGATGTGGGGCTCGACCCCAGGACCCTGGGATCATGACCCGAGCTGAAGGCAGAGGCTTTAACCCACTGAGCCACCCAGGTGCCCCTTTTCTTTTCATTTTTAAAAGATTTTATTTATTTATCTGACAGAGAGGCAGAGCATAAGCAGGGGGAGCTGGCAAAGGGAGAGGGAGAAGCAGGCTTCCCGCTAAGCAGGGAGCCCTACTTGGGGCTTGATCCCAGGACCCTGGCTGGGAACATGACCTGAGTCGAAGGCAAACACTTAACTGACCGAGCCACCCAGGCACCCCTATTTTTTTTTCATTTTTATAAAAATGTGGTTTTTTTAAAAAGAGGTCTATAAAAGTAGTCAGGAGCGCTTGGGTGGCTCAGCGAGTTAAACCCTCTGCCTTCGGCTCAGGTCATGATCCCAGCATCCTGGGATCGAGCCCCATATCGGGCTCTCTGCCCCACGAGGAGCCTGCTTCCTCCTCTCTCTGCCTGCCTCTCTGCCTACTTGTGATCTCTGTCAAATAAATAAAAATCTTAAAAAAAAGTAGAAATCACTTATAAAAATACAGATTACTCTGATATGCTAGCAAAATAGCTTCTGGCCAGAGTTGAGTTTAGAAGGACTGTATGTTTGAGGGTATCTGGAAGTCACAGCCCCACTGGATCCTGTCATCAGCCCTTGTCCCTAATCTGTAAACAATAATTTCATGTGGTTACATTTAGCACTTTTTAACTAGTACAAAATCGAAACATAATCGTTTCCTGTATAGCGTCACTTTAAAATGTTCTTCCTTAGGTCTGAGCAGATAAGAGCACTTCATATCGTTGTTTCTAACATTTGAAAAATCTAATTTAAAAACAATGTTAATAGAAATAACAGGTTTTACCTTTTTTATTACATTTGGAACACATGGGAAGGTCATCAATTTAAACAAGAAATTAGTGCTTTGTGTTTTTTTTAAAGTAGAATTTAATCTTCTTAGAATGAACATCTTTATATATAAAGCTTTTTCAGTTTTCAGATTGCTATTTAGGTTGGACTCTGTCCTATTTAATACCATCTGATGTACATAGTATATCTATGCATGTTAAGTGTTTACCCTAAAGAGATCATGGGGCTGAATATAACTCTTGCACTTTCCTGAGTCAAGGGGAGAAGTGGAATCACTTCTCAGGAGCTCAAATCTAAGGGGTGCCCAAGTGGCTCGGTGGGTTAAACCTCTGCCTTCAGCTCAGGTCATGATCTCAGGGTCCTGGGATGGAGCCCCACATTGGGCTCTCTGCTCAGCGGGGAGCCTGCTTCCCCCTTTCTCCCTGTCTGCCTCTCTACCTACTTGTGATCTCTCTCTTTCTGTCAAATAAATAAATAAAATTTTAAAAATAAAAAAACGAATTCAAATCTAAGGCATAAGATGCACCTGCATGCTAATGGGATTTCTTCTTTTTCTTCCCGACTAGCTTCCACTGCGATTCCAAAGGCTTGGGCACCTAGTGGCTCTGATGGCCCTACTGTGCGGGGACCCAGTGAAGCAGGTAGCTGAGGAGGCCGCAGAGGGCACGCACTACCTGCTGCGTATCACCCTGAGGCTGAAGTGTAAGGCTCTGCTGAAGGCAGCGAGGCCCCGAGTCAACCCTCTAGCACAGTGCAAGCACCAGTCCTCTTTGTGCCCTCACCTTCTAGAAGGACTTCTTATGGTAGTTTGTAAAGAGAAAGGTACATCGTCCACAGGCAGAGATGAAGGAACACGGACTTAATGATCAGAATCAGAATCAGAATCAGAACATCAGATCAGACCCATCAGTGTCGGCCGTCTGCGTGGCCGTGGAGTTGGAGCAGCCAAACATATGGCCCTGTGGACAAACTGGAGTGATTAGTTTGGTCAGAAGTAGAAGTTTTTGCCATCCTTTGGGCCTTCTTTTATTTATTTATCCCACAAATGTTTTCTGAGTGCTTACTCAGGATCTGACAGTAACCAGAACGCCAGTGGTCCTATCCTTACATGAAACAGAGTCTAGTGAGGGAATCAAACCATCAAAGAATCAACAAATAAGTCTGTTATTATAAACAAAGATAAGTGCTAAAATGGAAGTGCGGGGGCCATGAGGAAGAATCCCATTTAGTCGTGGGATTCAGAAAAGGTCTCTCTGAGGATACCTTCAGCCAGGTAAAGATGTAAGAAGAGCATATCGAGCAGAGGGAGGAAGAGGTATGAACTTGAGGAGTTTGAAAAATAGAAAGAGGGCCACTGTGGTCAAGGAATGAATCATTGGCCCCCCCGCCACATAAGACAGACTTTAGAAGGTATCTAGCCCAGTGTCCTGCCACCATTTGAGTCTCAGTCTAATCTACCCCCACCAAGTAGTTGCCCTGCCTGGGCTTCCTCATCCCAAGGATAAGGAGGCTCTATGCTTCCCAAAATAGCCATTGCATCTCTGGGCAGCTCTGAGTACGTAGACATATAGCCAAGGAAATACAACTGATTATTCATTTAACAAATATTTATGAAACACTTGCTGTCTTCAGGGCACCTTGGTGAACAAGACAGATGAAGTCCCTTCCCCCAAAGAGTGTATTTTCTAGTTGGAGAGACAGTATCCCCAACCAAGCATTCAAAGACTTCGCATAAATAAATTTCCAACAAACATGAGTCACAACGCAACATGAAAACAGAGCACCGTGACAGAGTATTGGCAGACTCATTAATCAGCAAAACTGGACACAGAAAGAGTTCTAGTATTGGAATTATCAGACCCTGCAAAACTGTACGATTTTTTATGGGGACGTGAGCTTCAAAGGAAACCCCTCAAAAGTCCTCACCATTGGCGGAATGGTTTGGCATGGTTGTACTTCCAAATCACTCAAAAAGTTCTGTTCTTAAAAAAACACTTCTCTTTTTCTTTCAGCCTTTTTAATATATCGTCTGACAACGGGGAAAAATCAGCCTTTAGACTAACACACACTCCGTCCCCCAGGCATTTTTAGCCAACTGGGAAAGATAAGAGGAATGAGATCTTAGGATTCACTTCAACCTGGGGATTGACCAGACTTGCAAAATCAAAAAAAAAAAAAAAAGAAGAAGAAGAAGAAAGAAACCAGAAAGTATTAATATTTCATGTTTTCTTCTCAGATGTCAGTTATGAGAAGAAAAATCACCCAAGCTTGAGAAGAGCAATGAAAAAATGTCGAGAACTCCTCGAACTCTACAGTATTAAACAGTTCTACAGTTGTCCCTTCAAAATTGCCCAGGTAATCAAAATGACTAAAATTATAAAGACAACTTGAAATGTTGGAGAGGTTGGGAAATCACCAGAAGTCTCATACATTTTGTCATGAGAATGTAAATTGGTAAAACCACTTTGGGAAAAGTTCTTGTAATTTCTTATAAAACCAAATGTAGAAGATTGCCCAGAGAATTTGCTCTCTAAACATTCCATTGTTTGGAGACAAGTCACCATGGTTGTGACTCTTACACACCTTGTTCTATTAGTTTAATGGTTTAGATCAACCTGTCAGTGGGCCCGGTAGCTCTGGATGTCTCTTCCGGAAAGCTCTGCTTCATTGATCACTCTCTTAACCTTAGCTAGCCTCGTACTAGTATAAACTCTTGTCCAACAAGCAACTGTTAAAAACAAAAACAAAGGAGCTGTTAGAGGCTGTAGTTGACCCGACAAGCCATAAACACTTTTTAATTAATATATATATTCATTATTCAACAAACATTTAAGCGCTAGGTACCCAGCACTCTCTTGGAGATAGGGGAAAAAGAAAACCTACAGATTTTACTCAGGTAGGGTCTAAGGTGTCAGGCAGTTTAAATTCTCTGTGCATCTGTTTCCTCATCTGTACAGAGGATCTATAAAAATTGGGTTGTAAAGGCTAGATGAGATATTAAACAGATAATGCTTTGCTTAGTGCCTGTCATATAGTAAGTGCCCAGTAGATTATACCTGTTACCATCATGTGAAGGACCTTATACACTGCCAAGTACAATGAGAAGCAGAATGAAACATTCTTTTAATAGATTGTCTCCAGCCAAGGCATTTTAGCTGTGGCTGGACACTTTGAGCTATATAGCTCCTTGAGTTCTGTTCCTATAAAAGTGTGACTCTTTCTGAGGATCTCAGTGATAAAACCTCTTTCTAAAACTCAGAACTATAGGAAAGCCACACACAGACCCTAGTGGGCATTTTGCTTCTAGTTTTTTACTTCCGCAGACAAGACTGAAATAAACAGCTTTGTACATATTTGTATGCCTCTCTGACTAGCATAGCAAAATTAAGGTAATATTCCTTATTCAGCATTCTATCATACTAAGTCTCTTGAAAATGCGTCTTCCCTGAATCATTTCAGGTCTTCGAAGTTTTTCTCAATTCCAGTGAGCTCTGCCAGTTTGTAATGACTACATTGGATAGCCTCGAAAATCTGAAGCATCCCTGCACCCAGCAATCAGCAGGAGAATTGCTGATAACGTTGGTAAAAAATGCGGAATCCCGCTTTGAGAAGGTAACAAGCTCAGTAGCCATTTCCTGGGTTTGAAATATTGGCAAGACATCTCCCCTCCTGCAGCTGCTGAGGGCTCTCCTGCTGCTCCTGTTCCGCAGAGAGTAACAACTGAACAGGCCCAGCCTCCATGGGTCAGTGGACTTCCATTCGACAAGCATGTAAAAAACAGCCACTGTATGTGCAACTAGGGATGGATAGTTTTAAAATCCAAGGTGTGCTCCATATTTTCCAGAACAGTGTAGTTTGGGGGGAAGATTTAATTAGCACGAGAATGGTAACTTCAATTTATTTCCTCATCCAGGTTAATAAAGGTGTCAGACTTTTAAAAATCAAGCCATCATCAATCCTCGAAGGAGGCCAACTTAGTAAGCTTAAAATCAACAGATATAGAAATAACAATATAATGATATCATTTAGCAATATGAGAGGAGGGGCACCTGGATGGCTCAGTCAGTTAAATGTCTGCCTTTGGCTGAGTTCAAGATCCCAGAGTCCTTGGATCAAACACAGCATTGGACTCCCTCTCCCTCTGCTTATGCATTCACACACTCTCTCTCTCTGAGTCAAATAAATAAAATCTTAAAAAGAAAAAAGAAGTATGAGAGAGGGGCGCCTGGGTGGCTCAGTGGGTTAAGCGTCTGTCTTCTGCTCAGGTCATGGTCTCAGGGTCCTGGGATCGAGCCCCGCATCGGGCTCTGTTCAGCGGGGAGCCTGCTTCTGCCTCTCTCTCTCTACCTGCCTCTCAGCCTACTTGTGATCTCTGTCTGTCAAATAAATAAATAAATAAAACTTTTTAAAAAAATAAAGGGTTTATCTTCTTGTATAAGAAGAAGGCTGGAAGCATTTTCTAGAACCTGGCTCAGCAACTCATCAGTGTCATCAAAGAGCCAGGGGCTTTTCCTTATGACTACATGAACGCTTCCCGTTCATGTAATCATAAGGTGTTCACAGCAATTTTAGACTTTATGAGAAAATAAGGCTATATCCAGCAAAGAAGAGAGATATTGTCCTCCTTTTGTCCCTTTAATCAGGGAGAAATGTGTTTCCCAAAAGGTTTTTTTCCCCCATGTTTCAGTGACCAGAATTGCATCGCATGCCAGCTTAAACCAGCTTCTGGCAACTGGGCGTAATGAGGGCCATTTTATTATAAGGGTGTTGATGACTGCCTCTCTGAGAGGCTGACATTGCCACAGACTTGAAGCCATGAGTCTATGAGTGGGCAGAGTAGGCCAAGCAAAATAATGGACCAAAGCTCGATGGCTCCTGTTTCCTTCTCCTGAGTATGGTAGACATCTCTGGGTGGAAGGCAAGTTGGACTCCTCTGACATTCTCAGAGTCAGAGTGGAAAAAAAATCCCAACTTCCTTACAACACTTTTACTAGTTTGGTTTATTATAAATCAATGTATAGTCATCAAAGAGAAATTTAAAAATATGTAAGCAAAAAAATAAATATCCCATCAATCAAAGTCATATTATTAATATCTTTGTAAGTTCCTCTAAATTGTCTTATGTATGTATACATACATGCAGATTTATTTTAAGTAGTTTTTTTTTTAAGATTTATTTATTAGCCTGCCTGGGTGCCTCAGGCCATTAAGTGTCTGCCCTTGGCTCAGGTGGTGATCCTAGGGTCCAGGGTTTGAGGCCTATGTCAGGCTCCCTGCTTAGCAGGGAATTGGTTTCTCCCTCTGCCCCCTCCCCCTTGCTTGTGCGCTCTCTCACTCTCTCTCTCTCTCTCTTAAATAAATAGATAAAATATTTTTTTAAGATTTATTTATGGGGGGGTAGAGAGAGCTGGGGCTGACATGGGGCTCATTCTCACAACCCATGAGATCACAACCAGAGCAGAAACCAAGAGCTCAACCGACTATGCCACCCCAGGTGCCCCTTAAGTAGTTTTGATAATATATTAAACATTCTTGTCACCCCCCCAGGATCTTTCAGAAAGAGCCACAGTATCCTCAGTAACTGTCGTTGTCCCATAGAATCGATTAAGGTCTTAGTGATTTGTTTTCCTTCTTCAGGTGCCAGAAATTATGGGAGTGATCTGTGCCCGGCTCTCCATAATCAGCCAGCCTAGAGTCCGACGACAAATCATAAATACTGTGAGTTTGTTTATCTCCAGGCCCAAGTACACAGATACAGTGATCAGCCACCTTCTGTGTCATCCAGTACCATATGACAGGTAACAGAACCTGGTACAGCCTCTGAATTAAACTGGGGTAGGTGACACAGCCCCTGGTATTGTTGAATGTGGCTGCTCTCAAAAATCTGATGATATTCTTGTAGAAGAGATAAGATATAGACAGATAGTGCAATATATGTCAGGATATAATGCATAAACATAAGGAAACAATCCAACAAATCCAGAATGAGAACATTTTATAAGACAGCTGGATTGAACTCTTCAAAAAAATTAATGTCATGAAAGAAAACATGCTGGGGCCACTATTCTAAATAAAAAGACACTAAAGAAACATAACCAAATGCAATATGTGAACTTTATTGGATCCTGGATGAAAATGAAAGCTACGAAAAGAACATTTTGAGAAAATTTCAATATAGACTCTGTAATTGATTACTGAATTAGTGTAACTTTCTTAGGAATGAAATGGCAATGTGGTTATACAGAAAAATGTTCTTATTCCTAGGAGATCAATGCTGAAGTGATTTAGGGGTAAATATCATGATGTCTGTGATGTACTTGAGATTTAGCCAGAACATAAACACAAAAAAGAAAAATAAATCCATAAATAAGAATAAATCATTTGGAGGAACAAACAAGATTTTTTTTTTTTTTTAAGATTTGTAGCTTTCAGAGTTGGAGACATCCTGGAATTTCCAAGAGATCCCTTCTGAGGAAGGCAGTGAGGCATTAAGAGAAGGTTCTAGGCCCCCACCCCCTTCAACCAGAGTGTCATCTGTCTCTTACTTTTCTTTCTTTCTTTTTTTTTTAATGTAAGCTGTACACCCGACTTGGGGCTCAAACTCATGACCCCAAGACTGAGTTATATGCTCTACCAACTGAGCCAGCCAGATGCCCCAAAGTGACATCTCATCTTGTCTGCTTCATGTATCACAATTCTGGGTAGTTATTGTATTTGGAGAAAAGATTTCCTAGCTTTAAACTGTTTGAAAACCACTTTCAGTGAATGGTTCTCACAGTGTCTTGGTGTAGTGCTGATTTTTTTTTTTTTAGTGACTTTTTTTTTTTAACTGATTTGATTGGTTTAAGCTGAATATAAGACACTCTACCACTAAATCAAATAAAAGATTTTTACCCATCCAAAGAAAAAAACGAGTTAATACATATCTATTTTTTAATATTCTTTGTTAAAGAATAAAGAATTTTATTCTTTAATAAGAAGAAAAACTCTACTCAGTTGGTAGAGCATGCAACTCTATTTCAGGGCTGTAAATTCAAGCCCCACATTGGGTGTAGAGATTACCTAAAAATAAAATCTTTAAAGTAAATTAATTGACTAAAATAAAATAGAATATTCTTTTATACTTTTCTCTAATACATTATTGTTATCTTTACTACTTGTCGGGATACCTGGTTGTCTCAGTCGTTAAATGCCTGCCCTCAGCTCAGGTCATAATCCCTGGGTCCTGGGATCGAGTTCTGTATTGGGCTCCCTGCTCTGCAAGGAGTCTGCTTCTCCCTCTTCCTGCTGCTCCCCCTGTTGGCGCTCTCTCTCTTTCTCTCTGTCAAATAAATAAAATTAAAACAAAAACAAAACAAAACAAAATCTTTACTACTTGCTTCATCTTATCTACACTAGATCCTTATATGAAACATATGATTTAGTACAAAATATTAAATATACTTAGTTATTTTAAAGTGTAACTTTAGCATTATTTTATTGTTTGTATTTGTTCTAGCTCTTGGATGAATTTGAGAACCTACTGCTTTAGATCATATGAGAATTGTGCAATCTGCTAGAAATGAAAATGGCATAGTCAGGAAATTTCATTCTTATTATATTTTTGGTCATTTACCTGAAGTCTTTTAGCTGGTTTACATGCAGATTGGGTGATTGTTTTTAGGAGTCTGTTCAAAGCATCTGCTATGTGCAAGGTGCTGTTTGGGCTGGGGAGATAAGGGACAGGACACGGACCCTGACCTCAGGCAGTGCACAGTCTGGGAGCAGACACAGACGACTAACAGGATTCCAAAGCAAAATAAATAAGACAGTTCTTTGGAAGCTCATAGGAGATGACTTAACTAGATGAAAGACTGGGTGGGAAGGGATTGCTAAAAGCAGGGCTGCCCCAAGCTGAGTATTTAGTGTAAGTTAGCCAACTAGAAGGTGGGACAGGGCAGTGGAAAAGGAATTCCAGACAGAAGGGAAAGGCAAAACAAAACACAAGGAAGGGATGAAACAGCTTGATGAATTCCCATTCCCAAAGGGCTGATGGGCAAACAAAAACCATGTCACATCTACAGGATCAGTATCACTGGAGGTAAAACCTGTCCCATATTTTTAGCAAACTCTCCAGATGATTTTTTTTTCACGCTAAAATATGTAAACCGATGCCTTATAGGCTAACATTGTGTTTTCCTAATTCAGATGCATTCCCAGCACACTTACAACTGTGCAGCAGACCAAAAGCATTTTTAAAACACTTCTTTCACAAGAAATAGCTTTTCAAATTACTTCATTTACAGCCTCAGGAATTCAGAGAGAAAAAAAAAAAGCTAAGTAAGTATAGGAATTTCTTAATTTCATCCCAAGAATGAATGTTCATCTTCTGTAGTCTACTTCACCAGCTATGAGCCTTTTCAGCATTTCACATTGCCTTTCTGGCCTTCCCTTTAGGAGTCCTTTAAGACCTTCTTACTCTGTTTTATTCACAGATTAGTATTATCAGAGTAGGGAATGACATGTTGGAATAGTCCTTAAGTCTCTCAATTTTTAGAGCGATTCTGATACATAGACAACTGGAAGACCACACTTGATCTAGCACACAAAGATACCTTGTGATAGATTCGAAAATAAGGTAATGGGTCAAAACCATGAGTAACTCCCAATCTTCCCCCCATAATGCTCCTTTACAGTGTTTATATACAATTATATATATATATATGACTCATGCCCCACCTTTGAGTCAACAATAGAAGAGAGTTATTACACACTGTCTTTCTTCAAGAGGAGATCTCTTCCTGGTGCCTGGGTGGTTCAGTTGGTTAAGCATTTGCCATCAGCTCAGGTCATGATCCCAGGGTCCTGGGATCGAGCCCCGCATCAGGCTTCGGGCTCAGCGGAGAGCCTGCTTCTCCCAACCCCTCTGTAGCTCCCCCTGTTTGTGTGCACCTCCCCTCTCTCCGTCAAATAAATAAAGTCTTTAAAAAGAGAGAGAGGGAGAAGAGATCTTTTCTGAAAAAAATCAAAGCTTTATTCTGTGCTTGCGCTTGTCCAAAATTTAAGGACCATAGACTGGGTTAAATAAATCTATCTGTGAATGCCTTCTGTGGGCCTGGCATTGTGCTAGACCTTGAGGGATTCATGGAAGAAAAACTGGGCATCATCCCTGCCTCCAGAGGGAACAGATAGACATGTACAGAGAACCGAAAATAGCACACGTAAGATTGAGGCAACCTCTATACACAAGAAGTTTTGAAAAAAAAAGTTTTTTTTTAATTTTTGGAAGTGTTATGAGAATCCTCATAAGAGACATGGTAAAGAAGCAGCAAGAGCGTCACAGAAGAGAGGATATTGGAGCAGGACCTAGAAGGGTTTTGATGGGCAAGGGAGAGTTTTGGAAGGGACCTTCCAGTTTAAGGAAATGAGATGGGCAGAGCTAGAGCTGTCAAATTCCGGTGTTAGTTTGGAAAAGGTGAATGGTCTGGGATAGCCAGAGCACAGGTATGTATGTGACATATTTTTAGCAGAATAAAAGGTGAGATTGAAAAGGTAAATTAAGACTAGTTTGTCCTGAAGTCCATGATGAGGCATAGGAACTTGAGTTTATAAAACACTGAGAATGGGGCACCTGCATGGCTCAAGTCAGTTAAGCCTCTGACTTCAGTTCAGATCATGATCCCAGGGTCCTGGGATTGAGTCCCACATCAGGCTCCTTGCTCAGCAGGGAGCCTGCTTCTCCCTCTGCCTGCCATTCCCCCTGCTTGTTCACTCACTTTTCCTCTCTCTTTTTTAAAGATTTTATTTATTTATTTATTTATTTATTTATTTATTTATTTGAGAGAGAGTGAGAGAGAGAGCACAAGCATGGCCAGGGAAAAGGGAGAGGCAAACTCCCCACTGAGTGGGGAGCCAGACATAGGCCTTGGTCCCAGGACACTGGGATCATGATCTGAGCTGATCTGGGATCATGATCTGCTTAACTGACTGAGCCACCCCTCTCTCTGACAAATAAATAAAATCTTAAAAAAAAAAAAAAAAAAAACTAAGAGTAACTGTAGTGAAATCAGATTATAAGACTTTTCATAGAGCTGAGCAGAGAAGAAAAGCACTTCTAGATCAGATTCCAGATTCTAGGAAGGTTATGGTCATCATGGTGGGCTTAGGATAAGCTATTGCCTGAAGCCTCCTGTTCTTTGGGATTTCTAGGCATCTGTCTGAGGTGTGGAGAACTCTGGAGGTGGAACTGCCCAGCACTACCTGGATTCTGTGGAGACTTCTGAGGAAGCTACAGAAATGCCATAATGCGCCCACCCAAGAGAAGATGGCCTATGTGGCTGTTGCTGTAAGCCATTGAGCTTTGCCCCTCCCTACTTCAGCACAACATGCTCCCTCTCTTGCGACAACTGGTCCAACACTCCGTTTGGAGAGTGTCTTTCTTCATCCCTCTCAAAGTTTGCTTCTGTCATCCATGTATAAATCTATAATGTCTCTACCAAGGGATTGACATGGAGGGCGCTCGGGAGAATGAAGGAATCAGTATGGTTTAATGAAGTTTGGTTTAATCAGTGTGGTTAAAATGTTCCCTTTAAAAAATATGTATTATCTGGGGCACCTGGGTGTCTCAGTTGGTTAGTTGTCTGGCTCTTGATCTCAGCTCTGGTCTCATCTCAGGGTTGTGAGTTCAAGGTCCACATTGGGCTCTACCTCAGGCATGGCACCTACATAAAATCAAATGAAATATTCATAATAGTTAAAGAGTAATACACAACTCGTAAAGAAAAAAGTCAAATAATATGGAAGAATATAGCATAGAAAGAAAAGGTTCTTCTTGAGCAGAGGTTGGCAAACATTTTCTGTAAAGGACCAGAAGGCAAATATTTTGGGTTTTCAGTCCCCACATAGTCTCCAAAACGTATTCTTTTGGTTTTTAAAAAAATTTATTTATTTATTTACTTGACCCAGAGAGAGAGATTACAAGTAGGCAGAGAGGCAGCCAGAGAGAGAGAGGGAGAAGCAGACTCCCTGCTGAGCAGAGAGCCTGATTCGGGACTCCATCCCAGGACCCTGGGATCATGACCTGAGCCGAAGGCAGAGGCTTAACTCACTGAGCCACCCAGGTGCCCCTTCTTTTGATTTTTTAAAAAACAGTCTTTCGGGGTGCCTGAGTGTCTCAGTGGGTTAAAGCCTCTGCCTTCAGCTCAGGTCATGATCCCAGGATCCTGGGATCGAGCCCCGCATTGGGCTCTCTGTTCAGCAGGGAGCCTGCTTCCCCCTCTCTCTCTGCCTGCCTCTCTGCCTACTTGTGATCTCTCTCTGTCAAATAAATAAATAAAATCTTTAAAAATAAATAAATAAATAATTAATTAAAAATAAATAAAAAACAGTCTTTCAAAAATCTAAAGACCATCCTTAGCCTAGCTGTATCTTCTCCCTAAAAATGAACTTTCTAGAAGTATTTATAGATATGTAAATTTTTTGTGTATATATTTATTTGGTATACCTTTTCCCCATTTTTTTTCTTTTAAGTAGACATTTTTAGAGTAGTTTTAGGTTTACAAGAAAATTGAGCAGGAAGTACAAAGTTTCTACTCTCTGTCCCCTAAATGTACAGCCTCCCCACTATCAATATATACTTTTTATTTTATTTTCTTCCCTACCAGCTTATAGTTCAGCTTTCTCTGACCTAAGTTATTATATAGGTTTTCTTTAGCTTCCAGAATTTTTCTGACATCTCTAATCTGCCATTGTCTCCTCCCCTATTCTCCCTATTCTTGTGGATATGTACTTTTTTTTTTAATCCCTATAATGTTATCTTAGTTTTAGGAGTTGTGTCAGATAAAGTTATATATTTAATCATGTTAGCCTATAAAATTGTATGTATATAATTAGTAGGATCAAATTACATATATCATTTGATGATCTGCTTTTTTAATTTAATAATATATAAATAATAATATAATACTTTCCATTTCAAAATATGAGACTCTCTGTTATCCTTTTCCTGGCTGCATAGTAATTCATTTATTATTAACTTCTTAAAAATAGATAATATGTAACATGGTACAGAACCATTTATTTGATTTCCAGATTTCCTCTTCATGAACATTTTGACAATTTTTAAACTTTTGCCATTAAAACAGAGCTACAGTAAACTTAATCATGCATATAAAATTTTGTCATACATACCCAATTATTATTACTTTTTTAATTAGACTCCACCCCCAGTGTGGAGCCTAATGTGGGGCTTGAACTCATGACCCTGAGATCAAACACTGATCTGAAAAAAAAAAAAAAAAAGACCTGATCTGACATCAGGAGTTGGATCCTTGGAGCACATGTGTGGTACAGTCAGTTAAGCACCTGACTCTTGGTTTCAGCCCAGGTTGTAAGATTGAGCCCCACATTGGGTTCCCCACTCATCAGGGAGTCTCTTTAAGACTCTCTCTTCCTTGTCCTGCCATGCTCTCTCTCTACAATCAGTCAATCAAACTATCTATCTTTTTTAAAAGAAGAGTTGGACACTTAACCAACTGAGCCACCCAGGCACCCCCTAATTATTTTCTTGGGATTAAGGCCATTGTAGGGGAATTTCTAGCTTAAGGGGTAGACTTACTTAAATTTTTGAGAATTCCCAGATGGTCCTCTAAAACATTGCCTTCTACCAGTTATATATGAGAATGCCCATTTACCCACACCCTTACCGCACTGAGCATCCTTAGCCTTTTCATTGCTGCCTAGCTGATAGGTGAAAAAAGATTGTTATTTTAATTATATTATTGTTATTGGTGAGATTAAACATTTGTATATGTTTTGGGGTTTGTTTTTTTTTTTCAAAGATTTTATTTATTTATTTGACAGAGAGAGATCGTAAGAGGGAACACAAGCAGGGGGAGTGGGAGAGAGAGAAGCAGCCTCCTTGCAAAGCAGGGAGCCCTATGCAGGACTTGATCCCAGGACCCTGGGATCATGACCTGAGCTGAAGGCAGATGCTTAATGACTGAGCCACCCAGGCGCCCTGTATATGTTTTTTAATTAGCCATTACATTTTGTGACTTATCTGCTCATGTTCTGTACACCAGAGCTCCTCATATTAAATATGCACACAAGCCACAGTCAGCTGAGGGTCTTACTGAAATGCACATTCTGATGCAGCAGATCTGGGGTGGGGCTTGCATTTCTAACCAGCTCCCAGATGATACCAGTGCTGCTGGTATGTGGCCCACACTTTGAGTAGCCTTTCCATTTTCTTCTTACTGATATATGAAGGTTTATGTATTAAAAATATCACATTGGGGTGCCTGGGTGGCTCAGTCGGTTAAGCACTCAGGCACAAGCAGAAATAAAGCAAAAGTAAGGAGCAGTGCTAGCAGGAGTTCAGCTCTATGTTGTGCCTTTTCTACCACAGGCAACAGATGCCCTTTATGAGGTGTTTGTGGGGAACAGGCTCCGAGCAGCTACATTCCGACTCTTTCCTCAGCTTCTCATGACACTGCTCATCCAGATACACCACAGCATCGGTCTCACCATGTCTGATGTCGCCATCCCAAGTGGCCTGTACTCGGAACAGGAAATGTCTTCAGAGGTCACCCCTTTGTGGTACTGCCTGTCATGATTTCATTGACTTTAATTAACACTAAGCTCTAAGCCCTATGCACTGTAGTAGATACAAAGATAGCCAAGGTGTGGTTCCAGCCAAGGGAGAGCTCACAGTGTGCTATCATGGGACATCAGGATGGGCCCAGGAATCATTCTGGGCTCTCACTGGTTCGTTGCCTGTTTTATTGGCACCAAGATAAACTCAGTAGAAATTCATTAGTGTCATGGTGGCACATGACTTTCTTTCAGAGGAAGTTCTATAATGCAGATTATTCAAGAACACCTCACTAAAAGTCAGGAGAACTGAACTGTAGTTCTCATTCGTTGAACAAACTATGTACTCGGGAGCAAATCTTCCTTTGTTCTGTGCCTTGGTTTTCCTATCTGTAAATTAGGTCAGACTAGGTATTCTCCAAGGACCCTCTAGTTTTAGAATTCTCTGGTGTTATAGCTAGCTTACTAGTTCGGTAAGTAATAGAGATAGTTAATTTTATTTTTTTAAGTAATCTCTCCACCAAATGTGGGCTTAAACTCATGAACCAGAGATCAAGAGTCACATGCTCTACTGGCCCCAGTTGTAGGGGTAAAGTTGTAGGGGTAGTGTTGGGGACACCTGACTCTTGATGCAGGGTCATGAGTTCAAGCCCCTCATTGAACTCTTGATGGCATGAGCCTACTTCACAAATAAATATATAAAATATAATAAAAAGCAGTGTGGGTATATTTTATGGGGGGAGGGGTATATACTGTATCTAAATAAAGCTTTTTTTTAAAAAGCAATGGGTAGGGGTTTAGCATCGCATATCATCTATTTTATCATAGATTTCTTTTCAAACTCCCAGGGAAACAAAATCTAGTTAGATTTCTTTACACTAAAAATTTGTGTGAATGGGCCTTTCAAGTTATTAGAGCATTAAGAGTCTTAGGGGAAAATTAGAAAGAAGAGAAGTACCGTCCAGAGCTATCAATGCATGGCCCCCCTCCGTGGTAGAGCAGGGTGATTGTGTGCTGATGAGTTGGAGGGACCTATTCTATTCACTTTGCTGTTTTGGTTTTGATTTAGCTTCGCCATACAAGCTACAAAGACTCTCCTCCTCAGAACGTTGTGCTGGCAGGAATTCAACATCATGGAAAAGAATAAAGGATGGACCCTCCTGGAAGGAAAAGAGTGCCATCTTCAGGGAGTATCTCTCCTTGCCAAGTAAGATTTCCTTGCCGTGCATACCTGCTCTAAAACAGCATTGCTTTAGATATTTTCCCCCCTTCTAGTTAAAATAGCAGCCAAGGTTGGATAACATCACAGGTTAAAATACCCATAATTCCAGGCAGATTTTTTCAGACATCCTGCCACTGCCATACCGTCCTGTGCACCTAAAGCTGGGCAAAATCTTCAGTGGGCCCCTGGCCCCGGGCATAATGCAGTCTGGATAGGAGCATTTCTAAGAGGTGTCCTGTTGGGTGTTCTGTTTTGCAGTGCATTGCTGGAAAGAAATCACCTCCTTGCACATAAAGTCATGTACTTGTTGGTCCCTCTTCTTAACCGAGGGAATGATAAACATAAAATCACATCTGCAGGATTTTTTGTGGAGGTAAGATTCATTGGAAACTGGATTCCGGAAGCCTCTAAAGCCACAGTATCTGCCTTCCTGGGCCCTATCCAACTTCATGGCAGGCTGGGATCCACTTCAGATGTGGGATAGAAAGAGTTTCAGATTCAAGCCTACTGAAATGCTTCTTGCCATATATTCACTATTCAGCATTCTTTATGTACTTACAGTGTAAACATCACTCTGTCACATAGTAGAGGAAAATAATACATTTTGGAGTTGGTGGGAAGGTGGTTCCCCTCATGAAAAAGGGCTTAAAGGTAACTTCTTTGGCTGATTTCTGGGTTTTTCCAGCTTCTCCAGAGTCCAGTGGCTAGGAGACTACCCAGCATATACTCTGTCGTCCGCTTGAAAGACTGGCTACATCACGGAAATAACGTCTTCAAATTTCTTGCCCTAAAGGGACTGCGCTATCTTATCAAACACCAGGAGATGGTAGGAGGGGCCCCCAGACCACTGATTCGTAAGTCACAAATCAAACATACCCCAGAAAGATACCCAAGAAACTGGTAACAGCCGAGAAGGAAATTGGGTAGCCTGGGAATAGGAGCAAGTGGGAATACATCCCTTTGTACCTTTTAAATTTTATGCCTAGGAAATACGTAAGTACTGACTTAAGTATTTCATGAAATCCTAAGAAATAATTCCAAGTCATGTATATTCATAATATTTGAAACCTATAATTTGTGTAAGGTGGTACCCTCACTGTCATCACAGCCTGGGTGACATACAGGTATCCTTTTATGTCTTGTACCGTGTTCCCCTAAGGAGTACATTGGACAGACCGTGATATCTGCTCCCAGGATATTTATCATCTAAACAAGGATTGCTGACATTCATGTTGAAAGAGAGCTCATTGTCTACAGACCTAGCTAGAAACCAGGCCTGGATCAGAAGGAAAAATCAATACCTGGGCCTTCAATTTTATCACTTGAGTTCTATTTTTTTAAATATTTAAGTATGTATCTATATCTGAAACAAAGATGACAGATGCTAGCGTGTTAATTCTGGTTGTTTGGATACATGAATATTTGTTGCCTTATTCTATTTACTTTTTACATGTGTGTTTTAAACTGTAAAACTCTGAAATTGCTTCCTTTTGGGAATTTGAGAAGAACAGAATCCCAATTCAGGATGGGGAGGACCCTTAACAGTCCTCCATCTCTGCCGGAATTCCTCCAAGGAATCTTATTGCCTCTGGATACATTCCATATTAGAGAACTCACTATGACCTGATCTAGCCATTCCACTTTCCTCTCATAGGAAGCAATTTCTTACATTAATCCTAAATCTGTTACTGGCCATCCCCACTGGGTCCCACTTCTGACCAATGAGGCAACTTATAATAGCTCTTCCCCCTTCTCTATGTATCAGCCCTGCCAATACTGAGAGGGCAGTCATGGCCTCTGATTACTTTTCTGCTCTCAACTAGCCAGTGCTACCAATTCAACAAGCACCAGGTACTGAGTAAAGGTGGGGAGCCCTACTTTGCTATCAGATGAAGTGCTCTCAGGAGGGTGATGGTGCACTCCCTTTGGACACACAGAGGGAAGGCATCAAGAGTCTGTTGCCGTGCATCTTAGATCTCTTATGTGAAACCGATGAGAAGATTGTTTTGTTGGCCATCCAGATACTCCTACAACTCGTTGGAACAATGGATTTCACCACCCTGACAGCCATGATGAAGACTCTGTTCTCCCTATTTGGTGATGTAAGACAATGAGAGAGGAGAGACTTTCCTAGGGGAGGGTAATCAACATAACAGGAAATAGAAATTGGGATAGTAATAAATATATTCTATTTTATATAGATCTTTTTATGTTCACAGCACTTTCAAATCTCCTCTCTTAATAAGACCTTTCCAGGTAACCTGTGATGTTAGTAGGACTGGTGTTAACTGTTTTTCAGATTCAAAAACAAAAACAAAAACTGAGATGTAGAGACTTGCCAAGGTACCACCCTGATCATGGGTTGGGGAAGGAGTTTGTATAAGAAAAGATGTCTTTCAAGGAACAATCAGGACTGGGTCAAGGTGGTGGGACCATACATCTGTCCCCATCCCATATCCCAAAGATTAAATAAAAAGTTTGTGGAGCACAATGAACTCTTCCTTGGAAGAGTCAAGTATGGCAAGGCTGGGATTCTGAATTTCAGCAAAACAGCATGTAGCTGTGCTGACCCCACTTCCCATTTGCAGAATGAGAGAACAACCAGTTCTACAAAGCAGCAGGTCCTGATATCTCTATATATTTGGCTTCTTGCCCTCAGCTGCCTACAGCTAAATAGCCTCATGCTAGGACTGGGGCTTCACCCAACCTAGCCCTTATAAGTTATTCGTGAACACTTTCAGTGACTTGCTTCCCTTTGGATACTCCCTTTGTAGGTGAGACCTGATGTTCATCGTTTCTCCATGACCCTCTTTGGAGCCTCCATAAAGTGTGTGAAACACACAGATAAGAAGGGTGTAGAGAATCAAGTCCTGGACAGCTTGGTTCCACTACTACTGTATTCTCAGGATGAAAATGATGCAGTAGCAAAGGTAATCCCTCTGTCAACTTTTTTCATGTCCGAATAACTCCCAGTCCAGAGCCAAATCTGCAAATAAGCATTCCATCTTTGAGGGCGGGGACTTTGTGGTACCATCTTTATTCACCATCTCCTATAACACAGGCTACCTTTCAATTATTTTGCCTAAGTGAATTGTGTGAAAAATCTTACTCCTTACTTCTGTATAGCCTATCATGGTCCTTTGTGGGTAAGAACAATGTATTATACCATTTTGTAGCCCCACCCCAATGTTTAGCCTAGCGCAGAGCCTAAATACAGTGCTGGATTCAACAAACTCTTCTTGTTGACAATGACAATATCCCATTATCATTTTCCTTTATTCAAGAACTGCTTTCTGGCCTTTAGACAAATAGACTTGTGTTGAGGCTCAGTCAGAAATAGTAGCTTCTTGGGGCACCTGGGTGGCTTAGTGAGTTGGGCCTCTGCCTTTGGCTTGGGTCATGATCTCAGGGTCCTGGGATTGAGCCCCACATCAGGCTCTCTGCTCAGTGGGGAGCCTGCTTCTCCCCCGCCCCCACCGCCTGTCTCTCTGCCTGCTTGTGATCTCTCTGTCATAAATAAATAAAATCTTAAAGAAAAAAAAAAAAAGGAAAGAAAGAAATAGTAGCTTCTCTGATAATCTAGAGAAGCCTCTACGTCTCCTTAATCTTCCAAGAGTTTCTGCCATAGAGTTGTTGGTAGGAAGTCATCATTTTTGGTACTGTCTCATTACTCAGGAGCCTGTTCATTCCAATCTGCTAGCTATGACCACCAAATACAATAGTCCAGAAGTATGTTTAGGCTGCAAGGATTCTGGAAAAATGCTGGAGCTTTCCCCTACCCATGTTCCCTATTACAGAAATAAAAGCAGGATCAGAAACAAGACTTAATATTATGGTGGGCCCTGGTACCTTAACTTGGGAGGAATATTATGGTCTTGTAACCAGAAATATGGACTATTTCAGGGGCACCTGGGTGGCTCAGCCAGTTGGGCATCTGCCTTTGGCTCAACGTAGTAGGGTCCAGTTCATTTATTCTCACTGCTATGCAGAATCCCCTCTTGAGGATATCCTCACACTTCTCCAGTGCTCCTATTCTTGGACATTTAGAGTGTCTCCCATTTTTCATTATCACAATGCTGCAATGAGCATTCTTTTATGTATTTCTTTGTGTACCTGTGTGAGAATTTCTTGAGGGCGCAAACCCAGAAGTAGAATATCTGAGTATCTTTAACTTTACTAGATATTTACAAATAAACAAAGTAACTGAACTTACTTGTATTCCCATCAGTCCCCAAAGGAATTTTAATGGCCCAAATCTAGTGGATCTGGGACAAGGTATTTGCTTGAATACTTGTAAGAGGTGGTGTGTGGTACCTGGGAGGCATTCTGAGAGCTGTGAACAGAGAAGCCCATTAGCTTGCTAATTTTTAGCATCTTGCTAAATTTTACTCAAGCATCTGGATCCAGAGGGGATCAGTACTGTCCAGAATTCCTCCCAAGCCAGAGATTCCACAAGGGCTATGAGGAGAGGAGCTCCACTTCCCTGTGTAAAGTGACAGGAGAATGTCACAGAGCAGCAGGTGGGTGGAAGAGCCCTATCTGTCAGACGTGGGGTCGTGGGAACCCCTGCCCCAGTCCCTGCTCTGGTATTACACCGGATAGCTCTCACTTCTGTCTCAGACCAGTGGTTCCTACAGCCTCCCCACAACTCTGCAGGCTTCATGGGTCCCCTTTAGGGGGACTGTTTAGGGAAATTGAAAGAGGGCAGGACTGTGGTTCCTTTCTATCCCTGCCCTCACTTGAGCCAGTTTTATTTGAAGAAAGTTTACTTCAGCTAAAAAATGTCTGAAGATACTGATCTCGGATAATCCTTTTCACAGGAAAGCAGACAAGTCCTAACGATATGTGCCCAGTTCCTGAAGTGGAAGCTGCCCCCGGAAGTGTACTGCAAAGATCCCTGGTACATCCGCCCTAGTGAAGCTGGAGCAGTCTGCAAATTCTTTGTATGTGAGCAATAATGGCTTGGTTCACTCATTTATAGGCTAGCATACTTATTTTTTTCTGATGTAGTTTTTAATGGAGGAACATGACATAAAGGAAACATTTCTCATCCCTTCACATCAGCAGCTGATATCCATGAACTGTCTTGTATGAGGAATCTATTTCTCTAGTTTCCTCCGAACTGAGTCACAGACTCACTTTCTGTAACCATGTTTCCTTATAAAAAAGATTCTCTTTTGAATTCTTGGGAGCCCCACTAACCTGGGTCAGAGGCTATGGGTCAGGCTGATAATGGTACGTGCAAATGAGTGGAACTGAGTTGTGTATCGCCTTTACAATGATCTCTCATCCTTTTCTTGGATATAGTGAATTGTCTTACCTTCCACTAGAGCATGTTTAGGGGGCCCCGAGCAAGGGTTGCCTTGCTGTTGTAAGCCACGCAGCATGATGGCAGCATACCACTGGCTCTGCTAGGGTCCAGATGGCATCCTTTCCCCTCACAAACTTGACAAAGGTTACTGGGGCCCATCTCAGGGGCAGACTCAAGCCAGGAAAGCTTCAAGGGGCCCATCCATAGTTTTCTGGACTTCTGACTCTAGGACTGCTGAGATCCTACTACAAAGACTCTAGAACTGGGGTCTTCCATATGTGTAACCTATTTAGGACCCAGTGCAGGCTCCTCTGATCAGACTTAATGGGTCTAGGAAGCCTCACAATACCATTGTGTCAGCCTTTCCACTGAGGATTATCTCTCTGACCTGTATCCGAACCTATATCCAAGGCACTGGGAGCAGAAACTCAGTGCTCTCAATACACAAGATCATAGGTTGTCCATGTGACATCATAAGATCTCTGGGAACAGATTCTGATGATCCTCCTCCTATCCCTGAGCTGCCTGTCTTTGTAACAGAACCACCGAAAGGTCCATTTATTCACCCAGTAAACACAACATATCCAATATGCAGTGGGCCATGGAGAACCCAGAAACATGGCAATGATAGAAACTTCCTAAGGGAGCTTGCTAGCTAGTAAAGGCAATAAAACCACTGTGGAAAATTAAATAGAAACTCAAGATGGAAAATGATATGTGCCAAGAGAGGGGTACTTGCGGAAATGCTCAGAGCAGAATGAGCGATCCGGGAGGAGCCGATCGGGAGGCAGAGCTCAAGGCAGAGCTGAGGGAACAGAGAAGACAGATACAGAGAAGTAGAGATGGACTTAGGATCACCATAGGCACAATCTGCGGAGTGAGGGGCTGTGAGCACAGTGTGTCCAGAGGATGTAACTCTGTCTACGGACGTTGTTGTGACATAACGTTCAGTAAGCAACTGTAGTCATTATTTTGAGCCCCATATTCTGTGTGTCTCATGTCTGGCATCATCCCTGGCTCTGGAAACTACAGCGAGGCTGCAAAAACTGGGGTGTACTTCACTCCTTCCTACTCTTCCTTTTTTTCCCCCACTTAGGGAAAAAAATGCCAGGGGAAAGTTAACCTCCTCGCCCAAACATTGATGTTCTCCAAGAATGCAAAACTTCCTGTCAGAAGAGCAGCAGTCTTATTTGTAGGTATAAACAATCATTTCATTTCTACAGTCACTTTATCCTATATTTTCCCAAATTGTGTTGTTGGGTATCCCGGTTCTTTATGAAGATGACCTTGAAAACACTTCTTTAGAGAAAAGGGCTGTTATCTCTAGGTAACTGTCAGGCACTTGAAAGTCAAGTTTTAGAATCTAATTATCAAAAGACCAATTCTGCCAACTGCTTAGAGCCAAAGCCAGACCACAGCCTCACTGACTTTCTCCTGCATTTAGGACTCTTATTAAAGTACGTGGATCAAAATGAGCTCAGGATGAAAGGCACTGACTGGATAGAGAATGGTGAGTGATCACACACCTGGGTTTGGTTTGGAGTGCCTCACATTTCAAAAGGGATCGGAGGTGGTGGCTGTGGGCAGGCTGTGTGACAAAGCTCAAACCCTGGTAACTAGAGGACCTGACTTTTGCAATAATGAAGACCTTGGAGACCTCAGGTGAATGACCGTCTCATCCCAGTTTAAGTCCCCCCATTAGGAAAGGACACGACACTACTGGTCTGGAAACCACTTTGAT